TTTCCTTTTGTTCTATGTTGTTTCTGTGAATATTAAGACATCACCATTTTTGTGTTCCTTTTTGAATAATTTCTCCTCTGTCATGTGAACTGTTAAGTTTTGATTTTCCACTGTTCCCACATTTCATTAATTGATCCTGTTTTTTTTGTTGTTTTTTGTTGTCGGCTTCTTTTATCATCTGCTCCTCCTACCGACGCACACACTCCCAGTTGTCCAATGGCTTTGACCACTACAGTCCGGCCAATTCCCCTTACATGCACACCAACGGGGGGAGTTTGGGGTCGGGCTCAGGCACTGCCTTTCCCTTCTTCCCTCCTTCCTCGTCATCCTACAACACCACCGCCACCTCCTCGTGCGCCGCCTCCTCCTCGTGCCCCACTCGTTCATGGTCACGTCCCGCCTCAGCCTTGCTGCCAGACCAACCTCACGACTGCGCGTTGGGCTCCCCCATGGTGCCTTCATCACGAGTGCCCAGCTGGAAGGTTTGTTCATCCCCTTCAGTCTCGATGTCGGACTTGTTCCCATCGTTCTCTGTTTGTTGATCCTTGCTCATACCTTTTCTGTGGTTGATGTTCATCACTTTTTTTTTTATATACTTTGGTTAAATCTGCGGTTGAAAACAAGTTTGGTGGGTGCCCATCAAAAGCACATGGGAGAAGTATAGTGAACACTATGCCTTTCCTTTCCAGGACTGGGCAAAGCCGGGCCCTTATGACCAGCCCATGGTCAACACACTGAGGAGGAAGAAAGGCAAGGAGACCCCAGGTGCAGTGGACATCAATGGTAATGCGAGCCATGATAGCAGCCGTTTCTCAGGCGCGGCCTCGATCCCCACCTCGGCCCCGGCTCTGGCTGCGCTACAAACATCGGCATCAGTGGAGGAGAACAACAGATGTGTGGCTGCCCCTCTCAAGGTCAGTTTTAGCCAATCTCGCTTTCTTACAGGTATTTATTTCCCTGTTATTCATTGCACGTATTCACCTTTGTGTTGTACTTCTTCAATGGCTTTGTTTTATTACCAGCAGAGGCCAAATTGCCACTGAATCATCATCAATAGCTCAGTTCTTCCATTATCTCTTAATTTTGCCAACACTGAGAGAAGCACATTCACCTAGGTCAGTCCACATTTAACGTTGCAGAGTTTTCCACCTCACATTCAACTTCCTGCCGGCTGATATCTTTGCAGCCATTGCATTTCGAGCACCGTTTACTGTTCCCTTTTAATGTACCTGATGCTTTTAAGGACCTGCGTGAACTGTGTCTCGTTGTATCCAAACAGTGACACTCGATGGTCGTAACAAATGTTTTTTTCATTTGGTCTTTGCTCCAGGCCGGTGATATTGAGGCCCACGAGGAATTGACTCTGGCTTTATCAAGAGGTCTAGAGCTCGACACCCAAAGGTCCAGCAGGGACTCAATCCAGTGTTCCAGCGGCTACAGCACGCAGACCAACACTCCCTGCTGCTCTGAAGACACAATACCATCACAAGGTGACACCCTTCAATCTCGAATCAGATGGTCAACAATCTTTAAATCCGCTGCCAGACTCCTATCCTCCGGGATCACAACACACAGTGTCATAGTTAACTTTCCTATTTGTTCTTTCTAGTGTCGGACTATGACTATTTCTCAATGGCCGGGGATCAAGAACCTGAGCAGCAGCATTCCGACTTCGACAAGTCTTCCACCATCCCCAGAAACAGTGACATCAGCCAGTCGTACAGACTTATGTTCCAGAGCAAACGGCCGGCCTCCACAGCCGGCCTGCCCAGCACCCACACACCTTACCACGGACAAGGGGCCTACCCTGCAGGGCCCTATCCCCCCACACCCGTCCACACTGGGGCCTACCCTGCAGGGCCCTATCCCCCCACACCCGTCCACACTGGGGCCTACCCTGCAGGGCCCTATCCCCCCACACCCGTCCACACTGGGGCTTATCCTTCAACCCCTACAGGTACACAGGCGCTGATGGTGCTGCAATTTGACATGTGCATGTTTCCATTTCTGATTTCTTGACGCTGTGTGGTGTCACGTTGGTTTATATTAATAACTCCCTTTTAGACAGACTTTTTTTCTACCCTTTTCTCTTTATGTCTCATGTATTCTGATCTCACAAAGGCTGTTTTATAATATACTGAAATGCTATTATTATTATTATTATTATTATTATTATAAGAATTATTAAAATGCATTTTGTTCAATTAACATTTGTGTGTCATTTCAGGAACATGTTCAGGCCAAGGATATTTCTCTGGATCCAGCTCCTATGGTGCCTCTGGCTCGTATTCCACAGGCCACGGCCCTGTTGTTGTCACGCCTGGGGTTGCCACAATCCGACGCACGCCCTCCTCAAAACCCTGCGCCCGCCGCTCAGGCTCCGTTGGGGGCACCGGCCCCATTCCCATTCGTACGCCCGTCGTCCCAGTAAAACCCCCTACAGTCCCAAATATGTTTGGAGCGGTAAATGGGAGCAGGAGCGGAGAGGAAGCGGGAGGAGGAAGAAGAGACGGAAGCCCAGATTCTCCAACATTTGTGGGGAGTGATGATAGTGGCACGCTGCCCGTGATGTCCTGGAGTGGTCAGGCTACAACCAATCCTCCAACTGCACCTGTGTCCTACCAGCAGAAACTACACAGTGAGCCAAGGCAGGAAGGAGGAGGAGGGGAGGAGGCAGGAGAAGAGTTAGGAGGAAACATGCTGGTGGCCATCCGCAAGGGGGTCAAGCTCAAGAGAACCCTCACCAACGACCGCTCCGCCCCACGCATCCCATGATGACGTGACGCCAAAAACATGTGAACGCGGGCTCTCGCTACGTCGTGTTTGTAAGTGAGGTCAGAGGCTTAAAAAGTGTACAGAATAAGAGGAGCTGATTACAGCGGTTCAATGTGTAGCGTTTCTCATTCTGTAAATGTTCCCCTGCTGCAGAAGCCATCTATGATTTGATATAAAAACACGCATTGATGTGCTATAGTTCCGCTTCACGTTTTCTGAATCGGCCCACGATGCCTCAGAAATAATGTAAAGCCAAGTTTATTTTAAATATTGGTTTTGACCTAATGATGGAACACAGGCCTACTTATAGTAAGTCCATGTAAACTTAGTAATGATACCAGTACAAGGGTAAGACCTAAGCTGTCTGACGATGGCTTTTTGTGAATAAATAACCAGAGAAGCACAGAGTAGCATTGCACCACGGTATGTTCAGTGTGGTCAGAGTCAGAGGGTTGGACAATGTCTCCAGTGTAAAAAGACACTGTGTATAATCTGAACAAATGGTGGGAGTAAACGTCCTTCAGCCTCCCGCAGTGACTGATGACTTGTGGGAATGTGCCGCGTTGGCTCCGTGTTCAGATGCTTCACACGGAGCCAACTCGGACCCAGGTGTGAGCACAGAGAGCTCTTCTAGGAGACGACGGTGTGACTTGAGGGTCACATGGTTGATGCTGTGACATTATCGGCCACTGCAATTTGCGTCCTGTTTTAGTTGTTTTAGTATTTACATGATCTGTAAATAATTTAGCATGAGTCTGTGGCTGAGGAGTGTGTTGGTGCTTCATGCTGTTTATTTTCTTCAGCTCCTTCAATCATTAATTTCACATCTGTAAACAGGATAGTTATTGATTTCATATAATGATTATCACACCGTGTCACCGTTGGGCAGAAATGTATTTTGTTGCCAATATTCTTTTCCAGAATGAATCTCATTTAATCAATAATATCTACATGCCGATCTTTGTAGAAGCCCTCAGTGGTTCGTGTTTATATATTAGTCCTTTATATATATATATATTACCCCTTTTTATAGCATTTATTAGTCATATTATTACCACTGTGCATTGACAACTCATAACGTCACTTATGAATGTCAAAGTACAGATGTGCCATGTCAAACCCCCCCCTCCACACACACACACACACATCCTTTTGACTTATTCTATTCTACTTTGCAGCCGTCTACTCCACTTCTAGTATTATCAGTTTTTACAGTAGCGTATCAAGCTGGGTACGTACTTTATCACAGTAAAATGAAGTATGCATTGTGGGATCAACGTCCATCGCCATAGGTACAGTAAGGTGTGACGTGAGGCCTTTCCACACACTGCAGGGTGAAACCAGTTTGTATCTCTGAGTCACAGCCGCTGCGTTGGCTTGAATTTCAGTTTCAGACCACGGCGAAGACGGGATGTAAGACACTGTAAATGTTCAGCTCTACAAATTAGTCCAAGAACTTACTTTTTAACTTTATTTTCTTCTGCTCAGTCTTATTTTTATACGTATGTAAAATATCTGAGTATAAGAGTTGTTCCCTCTCTCCATGTATGTTTCTAACGACGTGTTTGTCTATGACCGCTGTACCACGATTCATTGAAGTCCCGTATTTCACACATACGCGGAATTGCACTCAATCTTGATGATCACATAAATGTCGGCGTGTTGCAGAAATGAACCGTAGCAAATACAAAGAGTGTTTCTCTGACTTTCAGAAGTCAGAAACATGATTTTAGTTTTGGTTTTGAGCTTAAAATGTTAAAGCCTGCATCAATGGTATGGGTTCACATCTTTGGGACAAATTCGCATAATGGAGAACCGGTCGTAAACCAGTTACCGTTAAGTCAAGTTCACCAGAGTCATCATTTTATCATTTGTAGAAATGAATATGTTTCTGTTTAACACCTACTTTGGAGCGACTGAGCTGAGAGGAACTAATAACAGACCTGATATGAAGGTTGCTAGAAGAACAGATGGTGCCACGCAAATGTTTAACTGTTACTTGAAGATGATTCATTTTACCCCAGTTAACCTCAGCTCAGAAATGTGGAAGTGATTATCTGGTTAGCATTAAATCTTTATTACGTTTTAATAAAAATAATTCATGCCGTCCAAAATGTCTGACCAAATCAGACCTGAGGTTTCCAAAGACGTCTTAGTATGAAAAGCATTGTTCTAAATTGTAAACAGGTTTTCTTTGTAGTTAATGTAATAGGAGAAATAGCAGCAAACAATGTGATGGTATAAATTAGAAAGAAATGATCTCCGCCTGTATTAAAAGCCTAGTGTGAACAGGGGGAGGCACCACCAATCGCTTGCATTGAACATATAGAGGAGAAGATGATATTACTTCCTAGATGTTTCTGGAAACCCGGCAATTAGTTCTGGAGATTCTTGAAGTTAATGTTTTTGTTTGTTTTATTTAGTCGTCAAACTTGTCTAAAACGTATATTATCAACTTGTAAGTTCCATATTTAAATTGCTAGCACAAATATATATTATATCAGAGTTACCAAAAGCCAGTATATCCTATGATCAAGACGTTTATAGCTTGTGAGAGTTTGAAAGTAAAATAACACCTGGTTTCTAGTTTAGTTTTTAGATGACTATCCCCCAGAGGAGAGTTGACCTCTCTTTCGGTCTCTGTACAGTTCAACCGGCTATAATGCAGTTTGTTTCAGAAAGTTAAAGGTTGTTGTTTTTTGTGTAATGACAGCTTTAGCAATATAATAAAAATATAAATTTTGATTTTGGCTCTATGAATTCTTTAATGTATCGTTGACGGATCAAGTATCAAACATAAAACTTAAAACATCTTAAACCGATCAATTTCATCTCATAGATATGTCCTAACTTTTAGATGAATAGTTTCACTACAATTTCCATATATTAGCTTTATAACACTGCCCTTATCCGCAGATTGCATTAGCTTGGTGGACATGAAAAAATGTACGTTCAAACTTTTGAAGCACGTCTGGGACGTTTCACGTTTTGAACTCCTACTTTGAAAGCAGCAACTCAAAGATGTGTCGGGTGAGTAGTTTATGTGCACATTAATCTCTCATTGAGTAACACACTGAGCTGTGGGCCCGTTCTGTTGCTTCACATCCACCCAGTTTGTAAAGTTCGGTCATGTGCACGTTCAAAAGTAACTGAAGAGTACTTGAACATGTTTTTAAAAGCCATTAATGGTCAATAAGCCCTTCCTTACATCGCCCATTAGGATGCCAACAGATGCTGTGCTTGGTTCCGGCCACCAGGGGGCGCTGACCTCCTGGTGAACAGCTTCTGCCCAAACAAAACATGACTCCTCCCATCCTCAGAGGCCTGGAAACACTCGTTCTTTGTATAAATAAAAGTATGGCCCAAAACCACCAGTTCGCCACGGTCGCCCATAACGCGAGAAACACATCATCGCTGAGATTATTATTATGAAAGCTTTTCTACGCCCTTTCCTCTGGAGCAGGTTTCCTCCCCGACTCAAATATCTTCCATGTGGTGTCATATTTTCTCCGGGTGTGGACTGTAGTCCGGGTGAACAGCTCAAATGCCCCGTACACATAACAGCAGAGGGAGGGATGGGCACGCACCCAACACACACACACACACACACACACACACACACACACACACACACCGTCCATTGACCTTCATCACTGTATGAAAAACAGAATAATTCAGTCTCTGCTGATAACTCTATAGCACCTTTTATTTCCACAAACTTAAATAAATCCATTTTTTTCTTCAATGCGCCTGCCTGTTCCACGCCGTCCCCGTGCGGGGCATTGACGTACGTCTGCCGGTGCCGTCAGAGTTACGCACGGGGGAACGCGGCGCTGCTATTGGGACGCGCGCGTGCGTAACAGACGCCGCTTGGCCGCTCGCGTCCCCTCCCATCCGCCTCGCGCCATCCTGTCCGCCAGAGGTTACAACCGGCCGGGGTCCAACCCTCGCAAATATGGGCTTCTGTGCAAACCGCATCGGCCGGTTAGCTGCGTGAAGGTTTCGTGCGACTACCCGGACAGTTTCGTCGGCTGGGACAAAAAAAAACAAAGACACGCGTCTGTTGTCCGCGAGGTGTTCCGTCTCTTTCTTGTGGAGGTTGTTGGACGGGACAGCGGAGCATCGACCGAGGTGCGTCCGGGTAACACTTTTCGGACAGCTGTCCCATCTTTTCCTACTTTCTTTTGTTTGTTCTTCTAACGGCTGGTGAGATGGTGTTGGGTCATTATGTTCTTAAATAACGCGTCGTATTCACCGCGAGGCCCGTTTGTCCTCCCCGAGCTGCCCGCACACTGGCTTTTATCGAACGATAAATGTCAAAATATGAGTTGAGCGGCTCTATGGCGGTTCTCTTCCACAGCGGTAACCAGGCCCGGCTTTCTTTCCCTCTCTGTCCGCCACTCTTTCTCCACCAGGCTTCCCCCACCGCGGTGCATCGCTCCAGCCCCATCCCGGCGATGCTGCCGTGCCTGCGGAGAGCCCTGCGGCCCGCCCTCTCCCTGAGAGCCGGGACCGGGTTGGCCGCAGCGGGACTCGGCGAGCACCACGCGCCTGCTCCGCGGTGGCCTCTGGAGCAGCGGCGTGCGCTGGGGACGCATCCGCTCAACGAGACCGTGGAGCCCCTCAACTCGCCCCGGGGTGCCAAGGAGTTTATCTACACCCTCCATCCCTCCGAGCGCACCTGTCTGCTGCGAGAACTGCACAAGTTCGAGTCCATTGCCATTGCTCAAGGTGAGTACAGCGTAACACACGTGTGTGTGTCATCACGTCATTGGCGGTACTGCTGATATGTTGATGCAACTCTTTGAGATTTTTATTGTGAGCAATGTTGGAAGACTTTGGGTGAAGCGTAGTAGTTCCACGCAGGAGAGACGGCTCATCCCTGGGTGCTGAAACGAAGCCGGCCAGGGCGTCTGACCTCTGACCTCTGCGCTCCCATCCATAGGCAGCGATCAATGCAGCGTGTCGCCATGAGTGTAACTCCCGTTGCCACGTCGAGCCGGTGTGGAGCAAACGGCACTGTCACTCGTGTCATTGAACACGCAGATACGTTCAAAAACAGTATCAGATGTAATCCCTTTTTATTTCACAAAAGTCGAGCATTTGTTGGTTTTTATCGTAACAGTGAATGATGAGGCTGGTGGAGGATCACGGCGTATGTCCCACAGACGCAGAGGAAAAGGAGGAAGTGGGGAGATCAATAAGGGAATAGACAGAGTGATGATGAAGAGGCTCTGCATCACATGAGGTTCTCTCTGGCAGTCTGCTGCTCTCGGCTCGAGTTCAGAATGCCTTTGGGCAAATTTGTCTCATGACTTTAAAGTTTCACGTCTGCCAAGTTGTTGGATATTGGATTTGAATGTGGAATACAACTCCGCGGTGATAGAAGAAAGAACCACAACAGTAATAATATATCCTGCATACGTTATCAAAGCCCTTTTGACTTTGTCAGAGGGAAAAAAAAACTCGTTGATATCAGAGCTCTAGAAAAAAAGCACCGTTGCTTTATTGCTGTACTTTTTGGGGGCGTAAGTGGAAATTTCAGTGTAGACTTGTTTGCTGTTGTGTCTCATGATGGAGTAAAGATTCACCCTGCAGCGTAACCCTCAGATACGTCTCCTACAAATCCCAACAAGCTCTGCAGTCTCTCCGCTCCACTGCACCCACAATCCGATATCCGCTATTTAATAAATACTGGTCTTCCCGTTACACCACTCTCAGTACACTGTATACCAGGTCGCTTTGAACCATTTAGCATCAGACTGCTGAATGTTGAACGTACCCGTGAAGACAATAGCAATGCTTGTTAAGTTTATATTGCTAAAGAAGAGGAGCAGTTCTGTTTTATTGAGGGACCCTCATTTCTTATTTAATGTTCACACCTTTAGTGATACTTATTGCCCGGTGGTGTTTAACCTTGTTCGGTTCCTACAAAATGTTTCCCCTCATTGCACAGAGGTGATTGACTTATTTAGAAAAAAATGTGTACAAAAAGTCCTTGAGTCCAGTCCTCGTTCTCACCGTGTATCAGGACTCATTAGCCGGCCTCCATTACGAGGCATTTCAATAATGTTCTCCATGCTCAGTGCTCCTAAAAGTACATCATCATTTTCCTGTCGAATTTGGATGATTGCATCCTGATTACATGCAGTGTTTCCTGTGTAATTTAAACATGGATCAAACTGCTCTAAATCCCTCATGAGCATGATTCTGTCGCGAAATATCCGAGAATAGAATGTATTTTTTTAAAGCGCAGTGTGGCATAACAATTGAAACATTAGCTTGAGATTTGAAGCTTCTGGTGCATCTGGTGCATTTCTGGATAAAAAAACAATTTTTGTGATCCAATTTTTGTGTCCCCAACCAGTTAGATTGATTTCTTTTTCAATTGTCCACCACAAATGAGAGAATAGTGTTTGCCGGTGGACTGCGGGGACAACAGAGGACAGCTGCTTTCCTCTGTTCTCACCTGTGTGGCCTGAACAGCTGCACTCTGCGGACATCCTCACCATGGCGCTATAAGAACCCTCTGGGATTGTCTTACCTACTTTAGGCTGAAGACCAGCTGAGTCAGTGATCCACGGAGCGGTCGACTCACTCGCTCACCAACTTGCCGCCTGACAGATTGATTCTGTGCGACAGGCTTAATGACATCCGCCATGACTCTACCCAGAGGCTGCAGGGCACATGCAGCTAAAGCCCGTGTTGTCCTGTGGTTTATATGCAGGTTTGCTGAATGCCGGAGATGGTGACCTATCATCTTGGTACTGGGCAGTCCTCTAGGTTAGTCTATGCTGCACTCACGCTGGTTGAGGCGCATCCCGTAGACACACTGCAACAGCAGCAGTTATTTAGAGTTGTAATTCTGGTTTTCTTCTGTTATTGCTGAATACAAATTCAAATTCTCTCTCCCTTTTAGCTCTGTTTTGTTCAACAACAGCCACCTGGCTGCTAAAATACTGCACTATGATCATCACCAGCTAGTTGCTCACCTCGTCTGCCGTTTGGGAATGGGCAGGTTGTGTGCTCTCTGTCTATCAGAGGTTAATGCTGAAAACAGCTGACTGCTGCAGAAGAAAACCAGTTGATCACACAGAACAATAAAGCTGTAATCCGTGAAATCAAAAGACCTGAAAGATGCTAAAACACTCCGTAGAGCTGAGGAGGCCTGCGGTGTCGGTAGAAAAGTTGTGAAATGGGTTGTGTTTCGATCACGTTTGATAGAGAGCGATGCAAAAGGGGATCAGAGAAGGAAACGGTACAATGTTGACAAATCGATTATAAGTGCATTGTAATGTAAGCTCTTCAGTTTTCTGTCTGCTCCAGTTTCCATTTCCATAGAATTCTTTTTTTACACAGTTTAGGATAATAAAACTCACCCGGAAGCACAAGTGAAAATCAATTTTAATTTGTGACATAAAGCAGAATCCTGATTACTAATAGTCATCAACGCTGTCAGCGAAAGACTAAGTGACTGTTCCGCCGGCCTTTCGATGGCACAGAAATATAAATATTTGAAATAACAAACCAACTAATCCTTGGACTAGGATATTTATATCAAATAAAAGGAAATATGAATTATTAAGTTATGAGACATTAGGTAATACTCTAGTGATTCTCGTTGCGATTGTATAATAGAGAAGCAGAAAGGAAATAAAAGAACCTCACAGTAACTATGATGAGGACCTCATCACCAGATTCCATTAGTAAACCCTCAAATGAATCATTTTCAGGGTTATTTAGCTACCGTACCAAGCTATGTATGTACGACTGATTGAGTGAGGATGAGCAACCGGAGATCCGTCTGTTCCATCCGGCGCTTTGGGCTCATTTAGCTCACTTAGTGACTCCGTGGCATCCACTACACTAACGTGGCTTTCCTTCAGTCCGCGGGTGGAAAAGAAAATGTGGGAGGAAACGAAATGGAGGCAATTTCCCTGCTTGTAGGATGTCTGGTTGTTCTTTTTGACTTTCAACTCAGTAACCATTGATGCTGCAGTGCAAATAAAAATCTCTGGCAGGAACAAACCTCCTATTCATTTTTTTTTTTCCAGAAAAATCATCTCAGATTTGTCCTAAAATTTAACATCGTTCTTCAGCGAGTACAATCAAACCTGGAACAAAACTTTTTACTCTTTCTTCAGAGTGTGTATGTTTTGTAGGGATGGCTCATATGTTTTATGCCTAAAGCCTTGCTTTAGAAGTGCCATATTATATTCTATACTTGTTGAAAGGGGAAGCCATATCCGTTTTCACAGACTTTTAGATTATAGATTTCTTACCTTAACTAATTTCTCCATTCTGCCTCTACTCATGCAGTCATATTTGTCTTACTGATTTACAAACACTGCTGCATTATGGTAATCCATGGTGACATCTGCACAAACAACTGAGCATCTTCAGTATGGTATAAAAATAAAATAGTGGAGGCATCCGCTTTGATGAACATTTCCAAGTTTGAGCTGAGCCAGATAGTCAAAGAAGAGCGTTTTTACCGTAAGAGAGGATCTGGATAGCAGCCTAATGACTTGGAACGGGAGTCTGGTGGCAGCAGGAAGGAATAGAGATGATGGCGAGGAATGAGGGAGAAGGATGGCAAGCAGGGGAAGCTCTGAAGTTAGTTAATAGCTGGCAGGACGACAGACACAGGAGGAACAGGGTAGTTAAACAAAACGCGACAAAGCAGAAACATTGGAAATGTCTGAGATGGCCGTGAGCTACTTGGCGATCGCTAAAGTTGAAATGACAATCTGGCGATGGCGGGTTGAACAGCTGGGTAAACATACTATAAGCTGGTGAGCAGACTGGAGACAGATGTGCATGACGAACAGATGAAACATGACTGCAGCACCTGCAACAGAGGGCTTAGATGCTAACCCAGTGCCTGTAGCCAGTTAAAAAGGGTCACATGCGAAAGTTGTCAATGATGTCACCGCTGCCAGAGGTGCAGGTGAGAACACAAATAATGGTATAGGACAAGTTTGTGGTTAGCGAGCTAATGCTATGTGTTAGCAACATGCTGTAGTTAGCTAAGGCACTTGCTAACATAAGGCTTAATAACTTTCTGATTTATCAACACAAGTTGAATTCAGTCAAAAGGTTCCAGCTTAATATACAAACAAAAAAGTTAGTTTAAAACTGCCTATTGGACAAAATGCTTTCCTCATTTGGTCTTCTCTTTATTTTGACAGCTTATAAACATTGAGTGGGTTCTTCAGGAATTCATTCTATTTTTTGCCGGCCGATAGCAGTGAAAAAGGAGGCACCTTCACACAATGCAAAGTCGATGAAGGGAGGTAAAGTGTGCAACGTAATTGCGTCTCCACTTGAGAAAGTCTTCCAGTTGTCATTCTGGCACTAGTTCGATTTTCTTTATAGAATAGATGAAAGAAATGAGGAAACGGCAGCATATGGCTCTTCTTTCTTGTGCAATCTAGACAGATGGATCAAGACATGAATCAAATCACATGGGCACCACGGAGCCCAGGTAATATCATTCACAGCAGGACGTGTTGGATATTCAAAGTTTGTTTGTTTTGGTCCTTGCTGTTATTACTGTCCTCTCATTACCTCCCATCCGTCCTGCTCTAATTCCGTCCCTCCTTTCACACTTATATGAGATATGAGACCAAATGCACTATACATCACGCCTCCCAGTTTTCTCCTTGGTTTGTACCTGGGCCCCGCAGAGGCTTCTGTGACTGACCTTGCTACGCCGTCGCCATGGCTGCTGATTTCACTGCAGTCCCACACGACTAAAGTCAGCATTTTATAGTAGATTTTAAGGCTCGTGTTCTTTCCGAGCCCTGCATGTACTGCTTTGTAGGTTTAACTTGGCAAGATAGCAAGTGACCTACCTTGCTTGTGAATTTATTTCGGCCTTGATGATGATATTGTAGTAAGAACATCTATTATCATAGTTCACTTCCATGCTGGAAGGGGATTATGAAAGTGGATGGGTTTTTTTTGTTTGCAGTTTGTCAGCAAACATGTTTCTTATTCACACATTCAGCCATTACTCTCCTTCCAGCTTTTTAATGCTGATCTGACCATTTTTAGGTTTTAATGTATGAGAGTGAAACTTTGAGTCTGCTATGTTTAGCTCCACATAACAATAGGTTCCAATTTAACAAATCAATATAAAAATATTAGGGTTTTTTTCTGCATAGCAATTTCAGATGTTATTCAGAAGCAGAAAGATGCATCTTGATCTTGTAAAACTGTCTCTCAATGAACAGCTGTCTCATAGTTTGTGAGTCAATTTAGTTTGTGTGAACGTTACACTGTGTACGAACTGTTCCCTACCATTGCTGCTGTGAACAGTAACATGCAGCATCAAAAGCAATAAAAGAGTCAGGCAGATGTGTACACACCTCTGCATGATTTGTCATTAGCAAGAATAAGTGAACCCGTGCATGAGTTTCTGTCTGTACCATCGGCAAGTAGGGACATTAATTCAACGATTGATAAACAGCTAAGAGGCCGGCTGTATGCAATTAACTAAATTATCTCGCATGGATGATTGAAAACCAGCTTGACTTTTGGCACCATCATTGATAACCATTAGTGTGAACGTAAGTGCTGCCGCAGGTATCATGTCCAATCACAAACAAAGATGTGGTGAGCGTTTCCTGTAATTTAGGTGGAATCTTTGCATCCCCGTTATGATGTGCTGTAAATGTCTGGTCCCCCAGGAACTATATCTCTGCAACCACAAGGGAAGTCATTGTGAGCTGCATCTCAGTGTGAGGATTTGTAAGCGGCCCATTGCTCAATTAAAAAAAGTTTTTCTCTTTGTCCTTTACCCCTACTGCTGGGTGTCCTCTTTAGATGCGGAGGAAATTAAGTTCTTCTTTTCCTCGAGTCGATTGTGGTTTGCCATTTATGAGGGAGATATTCTCAACGATTTGTGGTCTGTTTTATGTTTTGTTTTAGTCCTCTACAGCTGCCTTAATTGGCAATGGGGGAATAGTGTGTTTGTCATATATATATATATATATATATATATATATATATATATATATATATATATATATATATATATATATATAATGATTTATTTACCGAATTCGCAGGGGAGAAGTTCTTCAGGCCTCCATTTGTGTGTGACGTCCCAATGTTTGTTTTTTCCTCTAACAGGCACAGTATAAACTGACAAGCTAATTTGTATTTTCTAGGAGCGTACTTATTATTTTTCCCTCAGCAGACCGATATTTCAAATGATGATGATGTGATGCGTCCTCCGGTATCAGTAGTGCATAAGCGGTTGGTAAAGGTCAATAGACAAACAGAAATTAATAGGCTTCTTTCACAGTTACAGTTTATATGCAAATTACAAGCTTGAAGGTGAATTCATTTTGTCCAAACTGCATTACACTTCTTGTGAGATCTAAGACCGGTGGATATAGAAACTTATTGAATTGAACGTTCTTTCATATTTACTGCTAGTTAGTTGGAAAATCTAATCACCCATTCTTACAAAAATGAATTTAGACCTCATACAAAAAGTTCTCCCACTATAATATTAAATCCCACCCACAATTTTTCCCCATTTCAATACTACCGATAATGTCTTTCCCTGACATCTTGATCCATATCCTGTGTGCTTGGAAATGAGCTCCTTCCGGTCTCATAAATCAAAGATGAATACCAGTGCGTTTGATGAATAATAGCAACAGACTTCCATTGTTCCTGTTCTATAAACACATTCTCACACACACACACACACACACACACACACACACACACACACACCGCTTCACACAACAGTCGGTGTTGTATCAACACTCTGATGATTGTGAGAATTCCTCCTCTGTGTCTCTGAGGAGCGATGCTCAAAAATCTATAAAATCCAGAGGGGAAAACGATAATGTCTCTTGTTCTACATTTGCGAGACCAAATGCTGAAGGGACACACACTAGCCGAGGCAATTACACACGCACACTGCGTTGTCCTCCTGCACAGTGATGACAAAAGCCCTCTTTTTAAATGTTCTTGTTTCTATAAATGTAACACCTGAATTTGCAGAAAAATGATATTGCTTCTATATATCACTGACTGAATGGACCAGAAGACATTTATTCATCATAACAGTTTTGCTGAGAGAAAACTCTTTTTGGTCCTACTACGGACTTATCCCCAATGTCTTCTGTACTTCTTCCCACTTTCATTCCATGGTGCACCGGCACCAAGAGACAACGTGTGGAAGGAGCCGTTTGTCCCTGCAGAACGCAGACGGGAAAGTGTGACTTTGACGCCGCCTTAAAACAATCACAAAGGACTGCTGATGTTCGCTGCTTCAAACAGACATTTATGAGCAGGAAGCAATTACAAAACAGCGATGTGAAACAAAACATCTCGCTTTAAAACTCAACCAAACACCAATCAAATACATCAAATCAAATACGTCCAATCAAATTGGACATGTGTCAAATACACATGTCCAACCAAACCAACACTTCTACAAACAGAAGCAAAACAAAAAAGTCTGGCAACACTGGTGATTCGGTAGTAGGATGATGCAGGATACCTGAAGGCTTGAGAAGAATGAACCATGGCTGCTTTGATGTTTAATTATGCTCGTGGTTAGACTCTTCTCACAGACCATTAAATGTTTTTTCACCGCTCGAGTCTGCTGGAATTGAAGTCTCTGGCGACGGCAGCTCTGAGGGATCCAGTTGGCCATGCAATCGATACTTTATACCAGCAGAGCTCTTTGGGAAATAAGCAGGCATGTCAGCCTTAGCCGTTAGAATATATAGCTGGAAGAAACACAGTGAACTACAAGAGAGAAAAAGTCTCCAAGCAATTCTGTATCTCGTTAGTGGGAGCTTTCATGTAACTGGTGATGAGTCAGTGATTCAGGTGCATTTTCATTCGCCCTCATTTTTTTGGAAATGTAGCAGGCAGCGGCTTCTGATTTAAGGCACAATGATGTATTGCACTTCTATATGGTCAAGAAGGGACAGATTTGAACAAAGGATCAGACTGATGACTGGGCTGTTTCTTAGCATTGTTCGTTTTTCTGTTACACACCTTGACCATAATGTAAAGACTGACCATGCGTTTTATAAGAAATATAAGAACATTTTAAGATATGTGCCAGTGTACAGTTATTTTAAGCTGCACTTTTGGCTCAAAAAAGTGTTTTATGAAGGGTTGGGTCATAAAACAGCTAAAAACAATTCAGCTAAAAACAATTCAGCATCAGGTTTCAGTGGGAAAGGTTGAGCGGGTAATGCAGCAGTAGACTAACATCGTCGGCTCACACAAACCCTAGAGGATCATTGAAAGCCTTTAATTAAATCTTAGAAAAACCCGCGGATGAATAATAAATGGAAAAAAATGTGTTCTTGTAATAAACTGCCGAAGCCAACTATCTTAACGCTTCCTGTAAAGTTTGTTTCCGTCTTGTAGGTTGATAGTTTACGCTTTAGTAGCCGGGGGGACTCTGCACAGGAGGCAGGAGACTGTGTATAAGCCCTGATGGCCAGCATATGTTTGTGTGCATCTCTGTGAATATGTCAGCAGTGCCTTTTGTTTTTTTGCTGATGAGGGGGCTGAACAGTCGGCAATATGAGACGAGAGTCCAACTGAAAACTGCCGCGTGAAGCTTGTAATGCGACACCGAGTCCTGAAAGGAAAGAACGGATTGTAAAGGAGATAGAAACTGGTGAGGGCAGCAGACAGGATGGAGGCAGATGTTGTCTTGTTCTTTTCATTTTTCAAGTTTATTATTATAAAATTATTTTAAAAGTATTAATTTTACTTTTTTTTAACCTCAAATTGACATGGGAAGTGATAGCAATGCAAACATGCATTTATATTTACTGTGAGGAGCATTTTTCTGGAGACCCGCTGGAGGAGGGAGGAGAGGCATTTTCTGAAGCAAAAGCACTTTTGTCCTCAGGGACCACAAATTCAACACAAAACACAACACAGTGGAAGTAGCACCTGCAAGCTGAAGCAGAACAGAGAGAGCCGAAAGCTGTGCAAGAAAAAGAATAAGCTAATGGGAATCAAAATTGAATACATGTATTTATATAAAGAAAACAATAATTGTAACAGACGCACACCATCTATTATCATTGTGTCAGCAAGCCTCCTGTGAGGCCTGAGTGGCAGCAGGATTTCCAGTTGCTGACTTCCTTTTTGACCTTTTACCCCCCCTCCCATAGAAAAACCGGTCCCAAGTGCTTTATAATACATTTTTCCTTCTTCTCTCCTTTTTTAGGACAGGTGGAAGTTGCACCACCTACTTCAGCAGAATTAAAATATGGTAAGCGGCTGGAAACTAGTACTATAGTGTTTTTATATCTTGTATCTTAATTATGTACAGTTCTGCTCCGCAAGGCTGAATTATGTGTTTTTGTTCATGTAGAAATGAACACAATCTGCATACTTTCTGTTTGCTTTGTTCTACAGTTCTGCTGCACAATGCAATCCCATTTGTGGGATTTGGATTCCTGGACAACTGCATCATGATTGTTGCTGTAAGTACGTCAGCATCATGCAGCTCAGCGGGTATAAAGATTTACTTCATGTTGGGGATTCCATTTCCACAGGGGGAACCTGTGCACACAGAATATATTACTGTAGAAAGCTTTCTGTCGATGAATACCAGAGGAGAGGAGAAAAATAGATATGCTGCTGTATTTATTTCTGTATAACTCCTCTCAGTCTATGTTTGCAGTCTTTCACTCTGGTTTCTCAGATTACTTTTTCTTGGGGTTTTTTAAACATCCGATACAATTCGTAATAATTTCCCTGCCACAAGCTGTACCCTCTCTACTGAGTATTTGTAAACTAATGACATCTAAAACAGAATTAGGAGAAAGAAGATACAAAAACACTATATCACTATACACAAAATACCTTTTTCTGGAAAATAAAAAGCTCTGGCAACCATTGTAAAAAATAACTTTTGAAGTTAAAAAGAGAAGAGAGACACGAAGTTAATGTTGTTATACATTAACAGAGGAAGTTGTCTCTACCAGAGATTAAAACAAAAGAAAAACATTCTGGCATCACGGACCCTAAATCAGCCTCTTATGATGACACAAAGTTAACCTCAATTAGAAATGTAACCTCTGTATTCCTCTCTGAAAAGCATTGAGAGATCCTATGCATGCGTTGCATTGCATTGCTTACACTCATAGTTTATATTATTGAAAGCTTCCCTGATTACAAATGAACCATAATGTGTGTTTTTGTATGTGTGTATGTGTGTTTCTCCCAGGGCACACATATTGAGTTATCCATCGGCGTCGTCCTCGGCATATCAACCATGGCCGGTAAGTGAATCTTATAATCCTGATGTCACATAGTATCTAATAAGAAATATTGATATGTTCCATGCACAAACAGTCCAGATTGCTTTCTAAAGCGCACGTCTAAAGGAGTGAGTAGCCCAGCAGATTAGTGAAACAATCTTTCACTTACAAACATACAAACATCCCATTTGGTAGAAATTCTCTTCAAAAAAGCATGGTGTTTACGATGAAAAAAACAATGCCATGATACACCTGCGTTGTGATTGGGTAATCAAATTTTGATGATCTTGGTATCAAAATATTGGTTATGAGAAATCCAATTGTGCACTTGAAAAAAGTCCAAATTGACAAAATACATTAGTGATGATCAGTGATCAGTGCTCAATTGCAGGCACACAGCTGTGTGTATTTGAGGCCAAAGGGACAGCCTGTAAATCTGCCATGTCATTCAGTCTTAGACCCACATTTAGTAAATTGTTGACAACGCTAAGCAAGCCGGCCTGGTAAGTAGCGCCTTTCACACGCTCCGCAAGGGATGACCTCGTAGGTGGAATGGCATCATAGGATAAGCTTCCGAGCAAATAGGTGGTTTTGCCTCATTACCCTCTTCAGCAGCACCGACAAACCTCCCAACCACGCTGAGATCTACCGTATCTGTAACCGGTGGGTATTGGCTGAGCTTCTGGAAGACGTGGGCACTTCCCAGGTTTGCCATGCAGTGGTTTTTCCTTTAATATGAAAGGCTGATACAACAACATCACAGCCAGTGAAGGTTTGAAAGAAAAGGATGCCACAGGATTTTTCCTGATCAATACGGATTTGATCGGTTGCTCAACTGCATTCGGGGTGTGCAGAAAGATTCTGCTGTCAGCCTCTTCATGGTTGCAATGACTTTAGCCTTCCAGACCCTCTCGTTTATTGCAAAAAAAAAATCTTACCCATTGGTCACAACTGCTATATTTTTAACACACAATGTCACTCAACTTTGTTTCTGCAATTAGGTGGTACTTTTGTTTAGTCCGTCACTCTGCGTCTACCTCCTCTGCCTCGTTTTGACCTTGTTTCAGCCCTAATTGATGTACCATTATTTAGAGGGCTGATATTGTTCTGCAAATTTTGATATATAACACATTAGTATGTAACATTTGTGCAATGACATAAAAGGTGAATTTAAGAAGATATGTAAAAATAGAGAAAATGCCCTCAGACCTCAAAGAGTTAATAAACAGAATGATCATTAAAAACATTTTAATTTGGATCAAAAAGATAACTTGGACTAATACTTCATCCATAAGAAACTATTGCTGATCAAAGAAGGGAAAAAAGTGTGAATTATGGGTAACAAATTACCATTATCTTGAAAGATATAAGCCATGTTGAATGTTTTTTTGCTCCATTAACCTTTTTGCATTAAAATACATACATTTTGTCAAGATTTCTAGATCAACAAAATATGTCAAGCCATTAAAGTTCTACACCAAGAAACCTTTATTTCTATTTTCGGGGACGGCCATCTTGGATTTCTGGTCAATACCAGGCTTTTCTGAAAGAGTAGTATTTAGGCATTGTTCATGCCAAATTTGGTGCTTGAATCACAAAGACAAACATTTTTATCAATATTGACTTAATCTTCTGGACTACAGATGTTGTTTTCTTCTCTCCAAGTTGTATTGGAGTATTTCTTTTGTAATCCATCTAATCCATCACGTTACAGCCAGATTTGGTTAAAAAATATCTTGAAACGTATCTTATATTAGACACAAATCAACAATTACCTTAAACCTGGTTTAGGTTCTCATAAACATTTTGCCCACAGTGCAAATCACAGTCCCTGACACTGTTCTTATTACAGTGACGCTGCTCCAAATCATAGCGGACTCCAACTTTTTGCACAAAGATAGAAATAGGCATTTTTAATTTCAGTGTTGCCAGAGTAGCCGTTCTAATAATGAAGCCTTGAAGTCTCAATTTCAACACTGTTGTGACACCATTTCAAAAAAGAAAGTGAGACAACATTAGATAAAGGAAACAGAAGGAGAGAGACAACAAAATATGATAATAGCTTTCACCAGCAGATTGAATGAGTGTAATATCCATTTAGCTAAAAGAGCCCCATTTAAATATCATCACTTGGTTCTATTCAGTGCATTGGAGAGAGACTGAGGTCATGTCACATAACACTGCATGTGAATAGTGATCGGAGCTTTGATAACAACTGTTATACTAACTAATTTTCATATTGAATGATGATGAAAAAAACAACCATCAGGAACAAATGCCAGAGGTATTTGAAGCTTCATTTGAAGGTGCTTATTGCATCAAACAAGCTTTATAACTTGACCCTGCTATCCAAACATTTTCTCTTTAGAAATTTCTACAATCAATGGATGATTGGGGTTAAGAGCAATTCCAGGCCTACTGGGATTTATCTGCAAAATTCATCAGTTCATCAGTTTGCAAATCCAGCCAGAAAATGACGAATTCCTTTTCAGATAGATTGACAGCTAGAGCCTGTTATCTCTGGGTGGTATAAATATATCTGACACTGAGCTCTAGCTGCTACAATCCCCAGTAAATAAACAATTTGGGGGAAGAAATGCAGGAAAATACTACTCTGCAACATAAAGACTAGAAACCGAAAGCTTCTTTTCTCTCCTGAAGCACAGCGCCGACCTAGTTTCTATCACACAGACTCCTTTTTCACAGCAGTGACAGTGTTTCTCATTCTCGCCACATTTGGGACATGTGGGGATCTGCAAATCAAGAGACCGCAGTTATCAAGATCGTCCCAGAGAGATAAAATGCCGGCGTCAAGTCTGCAGTCAAGTCCACCAATCACACTTTTTCTATTAGAAGCACATGTGGCGTAACGGGCTCAGTGAAGATGGACATGGCACCCATCCAAAGTGGTTCACCGCTGGGTTTATATAGTAATGTACTTGGGACTGAGGTGTTTGAATTAATAATAATAAATTACATTTATAGGTTATCATATTTGTATTGCATCAATACAATGGTAATACAGCTTGTAAAAACATCCTGCATTAACATAACAGGTTTTGTAGATGGATCTAGTGCTTAGCCTACTCTCTGTTGCTCTAGGACAGGGCTTTTATTACTCAACAAATGTTCTAACAGGGTCTGTAACATAGTTGGCAACATCTTTCGAATTGCTTCACAATCTCTTGTTTTGTGGGAGAGTGTGATTGCACCTCTCAGCGCCCTGTGGAGACGGACTTGATCGAATGCACACAGTGAGAAGCAGAACGAATTAAAGGCATACAGGCCAGACCTCTACTTCTAAATACTTTTGTGTAACTTGACCACATAATCAGGCCAGATATGATCTATAATTAAGTTATTTTACTACTTCACTGCCTGGAGGCCGTGACCAAGAACAGATTGTTTAGCAACCGCAATTGTATCAGTGAACGTTTATTAATGAACATTTCAAGCATGTGCGTCACATGGAGGACGTGGAGGACGTCATTACTGTGAGGTATCAGCCATCACATTTTAGAGAGAATACGCAGTGTGGGCTGCAGACAGACAGTTCGTTACATAGTTTGGCAACAATACCGTGGCACTGACGCAGCATTTGTCAGACATAAACATAACTAAACACACAGATTTAAAAAACATAATCTGGCACAAAAGAAAAACTTTCTAAAACACAGCTCAGTTTTTTTTAAATCTTCTAACTTTTTCCCTCGTCTTGCTTTGCCCTTTAGCTGTAAAGTAGTGATGAAGTCTTCTGAAGAGCTTCTCAAAGAGCCGATAGAACTCACTCCTCCACAAGGTCAGCGTCCTCATCCTGCTGAGACACGCCGCAAACAACTTCACTAATTAGACTGTGCCTCTTTGAAGGCTTCTCCAAACTCCTCTCTGCTTATTGATGTGGATGCAGGTCCTTTGTTCAGATTTCTACCATCTATCAATTTTCAGGAGGAATAGAGCCGGTGTTGGATTGAAGCCCTCAAAACCTTGTGCCAGAATATTCCCTACCACAAAGGACAATGCTGCTTCGTTTCAATTCCCCTGCAGATGTCTGTGTCGCTACAACAGATACTCTATACTCTGAATTTTCTATTAGCAGCCACTACTACAGTAGCGTACAAGCAACCGAGCAAGCAGATTATTTCGTGCGACATCTCCCGACTCTTGGATAATCACACATACTTGCTCATTAGTCATTTCGGCATGCCCCGTCCTCCACTCCTCTGTCACTGCCCTGATTATTCATGGGAACTTGTTAGGCTCAGCAATGTGGGCTTCAGCAGTGCATCTGTCTCCTTAATGAGTTCAGATTTCACTGGTTATCCAACATGCTGAAAACAGGCAGTATGTTGACTGACCAGTATTTTGTGTTGTCATATGTAGAAAAGATTATGGGGCTAAATATTATGCCTACTCTATTCTTCGTTCTTATGCACACGTAAAGTTACTACATTATTTATAATTAGTAAATATTTTGTGCCAACATAACTCCTATTTTCTATTGATAATGAGGGAAATTCATTTACCACATAATTCTAGATTTGTGCCTTAGTGATTCATGGAAAAAGTGTTACTTTTTTTAATATTAGGAAAAACTGTGACTTGAGCCAGTTGGCTGTGAGCAGTCGTAGATACAAACATAAATGTCCTCACTCGCTTTGGAAATGTGTTTTTCAGCTGCTGCCCTCGGCAACCTGGTGTCGGATCTGGCTGGACTTGGGTAAGACTTGCACACGCACACTCAAACACACAAGCACACTAACAGGCAATTTTCATTGTTACAGTTCCTGCAAATCACGGAAAGTTGCGAGAGGATTTAGGATTACCCTTATCCACTCAAATGATGAAATATTAAGAAAGCTATCATAGTCTATACCTCATTACACAAATGATTGCAACAACTCTGTGTTGTCCGTCACCCAGTTCAAACATTTTGTTGGACGGAGAGAATGAAGGTAAAGGTTTACCATCTCATTGCACTCATGACTTTGATGGCAAAGTGCATGAGCAGTATGGGAGAAAAAGAATCACAATCAGCAAAACATCCCTGAGGACTCTGTGAGAAAAGGACACCATGCAAAGATAAAGAGTGGAATCAGAAAAGCAGTCATGTCATTCAGCTGACATGAGGAGAAGAGAGCGCACCCGACTTAATGGTGAATCGTGTAAGTTTACAGCTAAAGGAAACACAGTCATTGGAATTTATAAAGCATGATTTCATGTGCACTATATTCCTCATTTACTTAATCATAGTGGGATTGGATGTTCATGAAGTAATGGGGAGGATTTAATGCAACATTAGTTCTGTAAGCAGTTAAGTCTGATCAGGCACATGACACATCGGTCAACCTGTAATTTATTGACATAAATGTATGATGTGTGTTTTATAAGGAAATCCATTAATATAATTATCTTCTATATATTATTCATTGGTTTCTGGCTGTTTTATTCTTTCACTGACAAAATACAAAACAAGTCAAAATAATCTTGAGGCTGTTTCTCCTTTCCAGTGAAATAATGCAGTACAACTAAATCTTTGTTTGTTTTGGATCACTTGATTCATCACTGTTAGCTACTTTAGGGCCTTCTAGTGGCCGCAGAGACCACAATCAGCTTCCTAACCTGCCAGCATTAATAGAAGATGCCTCGGAGGTCCTGGTTGTATTTCAGTGATCAGTAGGTATATCAAATAAAATATACCTAGAGAAAGTTGGCAGAACTCAAATGGCAATGTTGCAAAAATAATGTAAGTCAATGCCGGTGTGAAATCATTAAACAGGACATTTATTAAATAATACAAAGAGGAGCAGAGTTGAAACACATGCATGCATGCGTCAAGTTGCTGCACGGAGAGAACTGCTACTGAATTATAAAGTTGAGATGACACGTACGCAAGTTATGCTTCCCGGTCGAAAATCGACATCATAGTCTCTGAATAAATGACATACACCTAAGACATCCAGCAAGGCTTCTCCAACGTCTGCGTCTCCGTTTAGTTGAGAACACACACACCAGTTACACATCGAGGTTTCTCTGCACACTCGAGGGCGTTCTGCAGTAATATTGCTTGAACTGCTGTGACTTAAACGTTACTTAAGTTTTCCCAACAGGTAATAAATAGACAGGCGAGTAAGACAACCCGACAGACAGTGCTGATTTGCATTGTTTTAGTGTGATGGATTAGCCAAGTTGTTCTGGGCTTTGCAAACGCTCTCAGTGCTCATGCAGCTGTGCCTCGCGGTGATTGTCTGCGTTCGCCACTCCATCAGAGCGGAGAAGTAGGGCCCCCGCGGCCATTCTGTCATGGTGAGACTCGATTAAACCAGACAGGAGAAGCCTTTTCCTATTGTGATGGATACAAACCATTAAAGGTGAAGGCTGTTTGTTTACTGAATCCTACCATCACAGCAACACTTGCATCACAGTATTGTTCATTTTAAAAGTACACACAAAGAAAACGCTGTGATTGAGAGTATGGTGGGAGTCAGTGGCGCTGAAGAGGAGGTGCTGTAGATTTTCACTGCTTTTGTTTGTAACTGAACCATTTCAACATAGAGCTTTTTGGACCTTACTGCTGCTCCCCTGGCCTATATACCACTACACTGACATGTTTAGCTGTCCAAAACCCAAAGATAATTAAAAAAATAAAAGATAATTTAACATCTAGACACGGTGAAACACCATAAGAAATGTTGTTAAGTTGTCAGTTTGTTGGAATGTTTCCTGTTGTCTGACATTATTTGTTGCATTTGTTCTTCACTGTTCTCAACCTGTTCTTCAACCACTGTTCTTTTAGGTGTTTTTGCTACAAGCAAATGCAAAATACAAAAACATTTGTGAGTAGGTCCCTGTACCCATAAATTAGCATTGATTGTTTCCTGTGGCTGGCCTGGCCTACACTCTCACTAGTAACAAAAATCAATTCACTTGGAAGAGGATCAACATGCCCACTTTTCAGGCAGTCACTTAAAATAGTTCTCGCCTGCCTAAACAAGCCAAATTAAAACCCCTAGAGATTAATTAAAATTCTGCTAACTCAGCTTCTTTTAGTTCATATTTTCTACAAAGCGTCAAAGGAATTCTTTAGTGACTAGAAACGTTGAGCACAAGGACGACCAGTAAGAGAGGATGAGAGGAGAAGATGTGAGACAGGCTCAGGTGCACCAGCCAGCTGATCCCCCGAGGACTCCCAGTGGAAGGCAAAGGAACCAGCTTCCCCACTCGAGTGGTTTCTCTCAGCCGGGTAGTCAAACAGCACAAATAATTACAGCTGCCACTACAGCATGTGCCACTAGTCTCTTGGGTCAATATTGCAGCGATTGTTTGTAAACCATCCGCTCAACGTCTGTCTTCCACCACCAAGAGACGGTGACTGAGCTCTGCGGCTTTTGTTTAAACTGTCCTGTGTTGGTGCCTGAGTAATCTGTGCAACTACATCCACGTGTGTGTGTGTGTGTGTGTGTGTGTGTGTGTGTGTGTGTGTGTGTGTGTGTGTGTGTGTGTGTGGTGTGTGTGTGTGTGTGTGTGTGTGTGTGTGTGTGTGTGTGTGTGTGCGCGTGTGCGTGCGTTTGGACGGATGTACCAGCTCAACCTCATTGAAGTCTATAATTTGGCTCATGAGTCACTGCAGATGCTGCTGCTCTGCACCTCGGGCTCAGAGGCTGTTTGTTTTTCCCATGGACATAATGCATCACTGGAAATATAGGGCAGACAAGGCAGCCAATAAAGCAATAAGAAAGTCGCCAAGTTAGAAAAAACCTAGAGAAACTTGGCGCATACTCCATGAGTGTGTATTATAAAAAGCCGATAACAGCAATTAATGAAATGATGATGATAGTAAAATGTACCTTCTTTTTCCGGGAGGTGCTGCTCCATCCCATTATTTGCCTTCCTCTGAGGAGGTATCTGTTACAGACAAGAAGGGACTCTGGGATTCTCAAAGACACCTCAGATGCTTATTTTAAAGCATGGCATCACCCTAATTTATCCTGACAAAGGATGATTCCTGTAATCGCACTCCAGTCACACTCTAACCACCAATTTGGAAACGTCACTTGTAGCTTGTTTGTTATTATCGTTTTTGTCCCTGATAGATTTTCTTACTCATTTGGAATCACACGCCTGCTAATGGCCCCACTGCTCTCTCCACCAAGCTGTATCCTAGATATCTCCATCAATAACAGAGCAGAAACTATTTAAATCCAACATAGTGAACTATTGCCCCCCTGATGATGTAAATAGGTTATCTGCTTGCTCCAGAAATATTTTTTATTGCTTCTGGTGCAGCAAGTCTGAGATTCTGTCTGATTCTCAGAGTGTGTCTAGACCTCCTTATCTCGCTCTCTCCCTCTCCCTCTCCCTCTCCCTCTCGCTCTCCCTCTCGCTCTCTCTTCCTCCAAATATGCTATTTTCTACGCATCACTCCCCAGCTGCAGCCTATTTTATGTGTGTAGTGAAGGATCCATTAGTGCCAGTGACTGAATGAGACCTGGGTCAAAATATTACACTTGAATTATTATTATTATTATTATACTTGAATGTCTTTTCTCACCCATGAACTGCTTGACACTGTCTCTGTTTTTTTCTGCTCACACTGGACACATTATAGTACTGCAGTTCGCCACGCACTTTCAATTTCAGGTTTCTTACATTTCATTACGCTGTTGTTGTATTAGGTGGGCAAGCGAACAGAGCCCTAGCACCTTGGAGGGCCCAAAGACCCGAGTGTGAGGTGTGAGAAAACTGTACAAGGGACAGGGACTATGTGTCTCTTACACTGAAGTCCATTTCCATCTCTGTTGCTTGGTGAATACTATTTATCTGCTGCAGTCGGTCTTCTGCTTCCTCCTCTGTGTAAAGCAGTTCTTTCATTTATACACAAACACACACAGAGAAAAAATGGATTTTAAATGATTCTTTAGAAGGCATTGGAGTTCCACAAAGAATCATCACCTTCTTTAAAGAACCATGGTCTGCAAGGTTCTTTGTGGAACCAAAAATGATTTTCCACCATTTTTTATTGCAAGTGGCACCTTCATTTTTCTATGTGCACTGGATTCTCTCTCCTTGTCTCTTCCCGTTGTTAGAAATTACATTGGACATCCTGGTTTTATAAAGGATGCCATCCACAGGGCAAAGATTGGAGCATCCGCCATCCACAGGGCAAAGATTGGAGCATCCACTATCACTGACCTGTCATGTCTCCCACGTCTCTCTCTGCGCTGCTTGACCAGCCTTTCCATCTTGTGATATGTCCAAACTGTTCACTTAGCAAAATGAATGAATGAAGTTTCATCATCTGGGTCACTGTTTTGGACGTAATTCATGAGGTTACCGTAAGTTTAAGTCCTCTCTGTTGTGTCTTTCTCCTCCTCTCCTCAGGCTGGCAGGTTATGTGGAAGCCTTAGCGTATCGGCTGGGAATGCAGATCCCTGACTTAAGCCCAAAACAGGCGGACATGTGGCAGACCAGAGTCAGCTCTCACGCAGTCAGTATCATCACCTTTCTGTGTCTATGTGTGTGAGAGAAAGACAAATGAACTCTTCACGTAAACAGTCTTCATTTAGAGTGTATAGAATATTAATGAAACCGCCCACATTTCGATTTTGAGGGATTCATTTATTTGTGTAATGTATGGTAAACATCAAACCAGGTGATACAAGTATCTGTGATGTGGCCTTTCCATTACCCCTTTATTATGCACAAAACCTGAAGAATTTTGAATATGCTGTGGCCTGGCATGCTGTCAGATGTAACTAGGTTGAGTGGTTAGTGTAACACTCAAATGGTCTTTGCAGGCAGTAAATGAGAGGTCATGGCAATCGTCCTCGCATGTTGAGGGAATGTATCTTGCATTTTTTTGCTCACTTCTATTTTTTTCTTCTATTTTATTCATGCAGTCCTGCATGAATAAAATGTGCAGCAATATGCTTAATATTTCTTGTTTATTGATACCTTTAGACAAAAGTTTTCTTAAAATTTTATGCAAAACAACCCAAGATATAATCAAATACAACAGCAGTTTGATTAAAAAGAAAAATAAGATTAAAGATATGTAATGTTATCGTAATATTTCTTTACTTTCATTTTCCTCTGTGCAGGGCAAAGCCATCGGTGTCGCCATCGGCTGTATCCTCGGAATGTTTCCTCTTTTCTTCTTAAACGATGATGATGAGAAGAAAAAAGCCCAGAAAGAGGCAAAGGAGAAAACACAACCTCAACCAACACTTGCTCCAACAGAGAGCGGCAAAAACTGAAACTCCTCGGAGACTAATTCTATTTGAAGTCCTTTAGAATACTTTAAACTGGGACTGATTGTGCTTGGCTGGTGGACTGGAGTGTCTGGAAATGTAATTCAACCTGTTACAATCTAATCATCGTCGGATTGCCCAGTCAAACTATCGAAGGTATTCTGAAGAGGATTTTAGATATTATTTCATTGTAGACTTTTGACTTAAGCACAGACACCTAAACATCTCTTGAAGAGACAAGAAACGGTTGATTCATTGGAATGCTGCTACTCCAGCTCTTTCACATTGTGATACAAGCATCCAATTTGGTAGAAATTCTCAAGACCTATATTTTTGAAAAATATCCACAATGGAAAAACGATATGGCCGCCATTTTCCAAGATGGCCACCAGCCTTTACATACCTGAACTGCAATTGGGTTATCCAATTTTGATGATCAAAATATGGGTTTCTCAGTAGGAGAAATCCAATTATACAGTCCAAATTGTCCAACAAAATTGAGATATACAAGAGATATTACAAAAATAGTGTTGATCAGTCAATCATCATAATTGCAGGCACACAGCTGTGTGCACTTGAGGCCAAAGCGATAGCCTTCGCGTCTTCCACGGCATTCTGTCTTGTACCCACATTTTGTCCGTTGTGGACAGCTCTGAGCAATTTGCGGACGTGTCACCACACGCCCAATTTCCCCTTCTTGGCATCCCCAGTTGGCAGGGCTTTCTCTATGCATTTCATATACAGTTGCTTGGCCCCGGATACAGACAGGTATGTAGTATGTAGCACGTTACGTAAGGGATGACCTTATAGGTGGTTTTGCCTCATCAACCCCATTAGCAGGGCTGTTATTGTCGTACATTGTTACAACAAACTTCTCAACCAGCTAAGGTCCACATTATCTGTAACTGGTGGGTATTGGCTGAGCTTCTGGAGACGAGACACTCCAGGGAACACTTCCCAGGTTTGCAATGCAGTCTTTTTTCCTTTAATACAAAATGCTGATACAACAACATCATAGCGAAGGTGTGAAAGAAAAGGATGCCACAGGATTTTTTCACCATGTCATGAACTGGTAACCACCTGATACTTACCTCACCTGAGGCTTAACTCCACCGTTCTTCTAATCCCGCATCTTGCAGAGTCCCAAAATCACTGACTGCAAGAATAAGTAAGTCGGTATCACCGGCCTTGATCAATACAAATTTGATATGCTGATCAAATGCGGGCAGGGCGTGCAGGAAGATTCTGCTGACAGCCTCTTCGTGGTTGCAAGGACTCTCTGACACGAAGGTCTCTGACACCCAGACTCTCTGGTTTGTTGTTAAAAACATGTTCCCCTTCGGTCACAATTGCAAAACTTTCCACACATGATACAATTCAGTCGGCCAGAAACTCAAAAACCTCAGTCTTGTTGCCATTATCTCACTTACAACATCTGCAATTGGGTGGTACTTTTGTGTAGGCCGTCACTCTGCGTCTACCTCATCTGCTTCGTTTTGACCCTAGAGACGTCAAACACAATCAATAAGCCCGTATCTCAGGGGACAACCAGCTTTTGGTTTGGTTAGTAGGACAATTGATGTGCCATTCATTATATAGAGGGCTGATATTGTTCTGCAAATTCAGATAAAATTACAAATTGCGTCAAAATACATACATTTTGATGCCTAGATCAGGACCTGGTTACTGGGCTTTTCTGAAAGAGTAGTATTTAGGCATTATTCATTCATTATTCAAATTTGATGCTTGTATCACCAAGTGAACGGTTCTCATGAAATATTGACTTCTGCTGGACTATGTCTGCTAAAACTAATCCTTAATACATCCATAACACGCTGGAGGGGCCTCTTTCTCCCCTCTGCTCCGAGTTTGTTGAATATATAATTGTCTGACTCCAGGTCAGGTAAAGGTAATAAATAGTTTGGAGGCTCCCTAAGATGACAACAATCTGTGGTACCAATGCAAGAGGAAAAAAAACACCTTCAGAACTCATTCATAACAAAATATTGAACATGGCATTTAGACAATGAAGGTTTTCTCATAGGTGTCAGAAATCCTATGGAAGAAATTTAATGGAAGGGAAAATCCAATGGCTCGATTCAGCAATCTTAAACCAATTCCTAGTCAGTTTTTGAGCGTGTTGAGCCGGGGGAATAGATGGTTCCTTTTGCAAACTAAGATGCAGTCTTTTATTACATCAAGCACATTTTCCTTCAGCACAAGCATGTCCATGTCAATTTACATCACACTCCATGACGACCACCGTTCAGCCACTGAGAATGCAGACCGTTAAATAGCATTGACTAGCAGCTTGTTGACATTACTTTAAATTCACGCTGAATGTAACCAGGTAGGCACAGTTGAAGAGCGCGTTACCGAGTAGTTTGTTGAGAATTACAGAAAGGCAAAGGGAGGAAGAGACAGGAAGTACCTGTGGCACAAAGATAACACATAGGACACACTGAACGAGTTGAGTCGCCAGTGACACTGACGCTCTGGTTCCAATACGATTTATCTCTTCGCCAACCTGCAGGTGGACGACAACACACCTCCCCTGCCCAGTTTCTGCTATGTAGCCTCACTTAAAACCACAGCCCAATTGGTTGTTTTAATTTGACTTCACAGTTAATTAGGTGTTTATTGCTTTCTGTTACATATTGTTTGCATTCAAAAACAAATGTGCATACTATATTGTCTCTGCTCTGTTGCCCTCTACTGGTTGAAATACAGTGTAAGTTTCTTCTTCTGCTTTTCCTGTTTGGTATTCAAGCCCCTTGTTATCTCTCTACGATAAGTGTTCTTAATCATTGTTTTCAGCTTCTTTAAATGAAAGGAAGCAGCCGAAAAAGTATTTATTTTTGTTATTATATACAGACTTGTCTTCAGTGTATATTCTCTTGATCTCAAAGAAGAATGAACGATAGAAAATATTTGTGAACACTTAAACCCCCTTTCTTGGTTTTCAACAGGAAAGACTTTGCAACCGGTCGCTGCGTTACAGCCCATGACTGAACCTGTGCTCGATGTGCTCTGAAGACTTACCCCGATAAGATTGTTCTGATGATTGAACCGTTTTAAAATATTTATGTAGTTAGGATCGGATTTTGTGATTTCCACCTTGCATGCACTGCTGATAAAACAAACCCTATTGTACATGTTTGCTGTTAAAGAATCATGAAAAAAACGATGTAATGGATGCAAACCACTACAAGTGGTCAAAAATCAAACGGGTAACTTCATTGACTTGCAATTAAAAATTGGGTTGACTCCTGTGATAAAAAAGGAAAGTATTTTATGGTTATATAAACTGTTACAAAGCCCTTAAAGCAATATAGGCCTATTTTGTTTTTGTGTGTCTGCAGAGGATTTTGAAGTTTGGAAATTTGGACAGTGTGTGGCAAAGAATTATGGGAGAACTTTACTTGATGGGCAACATGTGACAACAGTGATGGATTACGGAAAAAGAAGCTGTTTGCATTTAATTATATATTGCCTCTCTCAGTGCTTTGAGTCCGTCTTTTGTGCATAATTAATCACAATAAGAAAATACACTGTAACTTGGGAGCTACTATCTTGACTTTGCACTACATCGCTGACGTTATTAAATGTCTTTATGAAAGAATGAAGTTAGAGGAGAAAATAATTGTGGAGATAATTGATCTTTTTGAATAATTTTTCTTTAAAGAAAAAAGGGGGAATGTTACATACTACGTTACATCACAAGTATATTATATGATTCTTCATGACCAAGGTGGGAAATACATGAGCCAATGTCGTATAGGTTTTGAGTCAAATACCTTTATTTGCTATTGTAGATTGTCAGCCTGCTGTTTTTGTTTATTTTGCAGACAGAAATGCAAGCGATACAATTTTAAGTTATTTTGAAATGTGTGTTTTCAGTGTTTCAGCTTAAAGCTTGAGTTTCAGAAGACTTGGAAGTTTTAGTTGAAGATTTGGCCAGCAGGAGTCATTAGAGGCATTTTATTGTTCTTCTTAGTTGACGCAGTGTGTTGTGCATTCTATATATGCTTGTGTGTTATATTGACCAGTCGTATTTGGCCAGGATAATCCTATTGAAATTGATTGAAAATCTCTTCTACAAGGGGGTTGGCACAGTAATTCATGGACTCCAGCAGATTAATCTCACCGAATTGATTAATCTCGCTTTGCATCTTGTCTAGAGAGGCGTGAGCTGATAGAGGCTCCACTGACCTCAGCTCCATTTCTCTCTCAGCAAATTTGTATGGACGGGTTAAGAACCTGATCTATTGCTTTTGTGTTTGCAGATTCTTTATTCGTTTGGCCGCATTGATTACTATTTTATGGTTCATGGTGCTATAAAAGATCGTTATTGGCTGCTGTCAATACATTTTTGGGGATGCACTGTGGTGGAGCAGCAAGTATCAAAAATAAAGTTTGAATCTCACATAAAGTTCACAGCGTTTTGTCCTCCTACATTAGCTTCTTTTCTTTTTACCAGAAGACAAAAGATGATCTGTGACTGTTTCTCACTCGCAGAAGAAACATTTCTGGATCAAGCTTTTTTTGTAGCTACCTGTAGGGGGATTATTATAATCGTGCTCTGTTCTCACTAACTTCCTACGATAAAATCATTTTAATTTTATTATTTTCTAAAGGTCATATATTAAATGTTTTACTCTGTTTTTTTAGAAGGGACCTACATTAATATGATATGCTGATAAATAACAGTAGTTTAGGGCTAGATTGCTGATTGTTTAGGCATTTTAATCTCATGAATTTTACTTGTTACTGTTACAAACATTTGTTCAGGTGAGACAGCAGTGAACTTGTTTAACAAGACATTAATGCATATTATGCATATTAATATACAAGGTAATATACTGGTACTTACTAACTACATACTTGCTATGCATTTTAATAACACTTATATGCATGTGTGTTATCCCCATATTTGTCTAAGAATTCACTGCAGCTGCTGCAGCAAAACTTGAGCTCTTGAGTTGGTGAGCAGCAAACACAACAGAGAGGCAGAAGACTTACTGAAGCTCTGTGTGCAGAAAGATAAGAACATTAACGCAGACGCACAAACACACACATGCAAACACACACCTAAGTCAAAGGGGAACGGACACGGAGGTGACACAAGGAACCGAGAAGAAGCCGCTTTGAAAATGTCCGCGTGGGGCCGCTGTCACATAGAGGGTTTCACATGTGATACGGTTTGAGGCTGTAACTGAGAGGCAGAGAAGTTTGATAGAAACCGACGAAAAATAAATGGACTTACACATGTTCAATAGTTGTACTTAAAGGGAGTCAGAATGTGTTGTCTTTGTAATGGTTTAGAATTTCTCCATTATTATTATGGTATACCAACTTATTCAATCCAGTTTTGACCAATAAAAATGTGTTTCACTAAAGCTTTATTTTTTACTCAAATCTTCTTATACCACTCAATCCTTTTCCTTCATACAAACAATGCTTAAATCGCGCGACACACTCTCACAGTCAGTAAATTGTATTATACATCTTCAAACCGAAAAACATCAGTATTGAGAATTTCAAATAGCTGCAATTTTTGACAACCTTGCCATTATACAGTGCCATTTGTTGCTCATTTCCCTGCATAAAAACACATTACAAAGCAAACAGTGGCATGAACTCGTTAATGATAACAGAAAAACACGTAAAGGCTACAGTCATTTCCATGTCAGGTTTAAAGGCTTATTGTATATACTTGTGAAGAGTTTTAGACCAGTCAGCACTCGCACCTCTTGAGGGTTCAGGTGCAGTCGGCCATTGACTGTAGCTGTCATTGAGACTCAAAATAATGATTTGATTGGAAAGAGATTTTATTCTAATTGGCCAGTTAATAATAGTAGGATATGGAAGGTCCCTTCTCCTTTCATTTGAAATCTTGAACAATAGTGGAATCTATCTAAAAATAGATGTTAATTTAATGCAGATCAACAAGTGAACTGGATCCCTCTTGTCACAGCAAAGCTAAAGCTATTTATCTCTGACATATCTGTCTCTGAAAATAACCGTCTGGTCTTTAATAAAAGCTCTATTCAGAGGCTTTTTTTTAAAGATTCAGGGCAGCTAATAAAGATTGTGTCCAACATGAATCAACAGATACATGTTATACAGGCTATACTCAAAGAAATATATTACATATGCAGTAATTGCACTAATCCTAAAATCCAAAAAAAGGACTGCCTGACATTTCAAGGTAAATGTATTTTTCTTCCAAAATAAAATAAAAAATCCCAAATAATATTCTTGCCTTGCATCATTAGCACACCTTATTTTAAAGAACCCATAAATTTAGCTCATTTGCACCGTTAAAAACAAGCCATTATGCCACTTTTAAAAACCCCAATGCTTCAAAATGTCTTTTCACTTGATAATAATAAAAATTAAAAAAAATGAATAAATGTAAGCTGAACTCATCTTGAACCCTAAACCTCACCTTCTGATTCATCAACTGTGATTGTGCTAAAGTAAAAGATGGTGAAGGATGAACTTGTGTGTGAAATTTGGACCTCTCAAAGCCAAAAGGAAAGTGTATTTCCTCTCAGTTTAACAACAGCTTGTTGTTCTGATACTCTACATCATGATAACAGGTAACCAGCCCCGTTAACCTGGTAAAGTACGGAACACAATGAGAACTACCGTTACATCCCCTGCTGCTTTGTAAACAAAGAGATCGCTGAGGACGTTGGAAATAGATCAACGTTTGCTTGTGCTTCCAACTGTTAACACCAATCGGAGCATCATTTCATCACTTTACAAAAAAACATAACCATAAAGCTCTGTGAGTGTCCAGAGCAGCCATGCCTTCCTTATAATCCATCACAATAGCAGTTTTCACTGGACAGGTAGAGAGCTGCATGGTCTAACGTATCTCAAGTGTCGTTCCACTCAGTCAGTAGAAAAAAGAACAGTGGCGACATTATGACAGGGTCCACACACACACTCACACACACACACACACTCACACACAGGGTCAGTGACAAAGGTTAGTGGGACGTCAGACAGAGTAAAACAGTTACACACGCATACTAACCAGGGCTGTCTTTCTCTCCTCCTGCCCTTTTGTCGTGGCCTCACAAGAGCAGCCTTTGTATGTAGAGAGGGACGGAGTGCGAGCGCGTCCTGGACAGTATGAGCATATTTGTGTCCCAGTGTCGGCGTGTGTGTGTGTCCTGGTATTTGTGCCCTCCTTACGAGCTGCTATCCCACTGTGCTGGCTCAGATCCCACCTTTCCTCTTTACACTGTTGCATTGTTGGCGAGCTCGTGTTGTGATTTGTAGAGAGAAAGGGGACGAGTGGAGGGACGGGTGGACGCCAGCGTCCCGGTGGTTGCGGTTGTCTTGCCAGTTTTTGCGCTGTGCTCATGTTTCACGAGTTGTCTTAGAATCAGAATCAGGTTCTGATCTTGTTAATCTTACGCCGTGGCAGAACAGTTCTCCCCATCTGCATTCAGTGCCAGAAATAGTGAATCTGAATTGTCCCCAAGGAATAGATTTTGAAGTGGCTGAATTCCCTTTAGGGATTTTCACTTGAGAGCTTTGTAAAAGAGTGCAAAGAGGTCATTTTCAATCTACTTTGTCAATATTGTTGGAGTGAACAGGCTGGCACTGCGCTGAGCACGGAGAGGAGGAGGAGAAGGAGGAGGAGGAGGAGGAAGAAAACCTCTCGGTGGTGGCAGAAGGTTCACTTGGTTTGTGATTCCAATGCAGGCCAATCACAGCCAGAATACTGATGATGTGAATGTGGAAGTACATAGACCTAAAAAAAACAAAAACAAAGAATACATTTTGGGGAAATGTTAATCAGCATGAAGAGGCCTGAAAGAAATTCTAATGTTAATGGTGAATTTTAATGGTTGAGAAAATTCTTTAGGCATGACTTTAGCTGCTGCCCTTATTAAAATACCATTTGTCTTTAATCATTCCGAGAAAGAAATTGCAAAGATGACAATTCCTTAGTTTGTTGTGTGGATCCTCCGAAAAATGTCTCTACAGACAGATTTCTATACATTATTCAAAGGGGGCAAGCATGAATTAGGCGTAAGAGGATAAATATCGTACCTGTAATAAACCAAAGTGGGCTCTACTGCAAGAAGAAGAAAAGGCATAACCGTGTAGCAGATGGCCAGCTGAGTGGCTGCCCAAGTTAAGATGTCGTAACCCAGCTTCAAGCCTCTGCTGCCCAGAAAATAGATGCGAAAAGACTTCCGTACCTGGCGGGAAGAGACAGACGAATGGCGTCACAATATCCGATCAGCCACTGTTATTAGCAAAAATTTGACGAAAAATTAAAACATATCAGTTGTACACAGTCATCAGAATTTCCAGCCAGGTACTCACGGCTCGTGCTGCCATGGTGACGGGGATGGCAGTGATGAAGGTGAAATAGTATCCAGGGTAGACGCCATGCCACAGGGCGGACAGGATGAAGGTCAACGCCAGCCTGTGCTTCGGCGCTCGGTCATAACACACACTAAGCGGATGAGAGAAATCAAACATATTCACAACAGCTGAATAAATCTTTTCCGGCTGCGTGCATGTGTACTGTGTACATGTGTACTTACGTCTTTAACCAAATTCCTGTTTGAATATTCCAGTTGTCTATGAATCTCTTGAAGCTGGTTGCCGTCTGAAAAGAGACAGCAACAAATAATAATAACCACCTAACAGAAACTCATGTAAGTCATCGTCAGCGTTGACCGACGTGTATGTGCATGTGTTTTAAAAGCTGTGCAATGCCGAGGATACCTCAATCCCCAGGATGTTGAGGTTACAGATGAGGTCCCAAGATGGCTTTCCATTTTCATCCAACCCCAAGAAACCATAACCTGCAGCGTTGTTGACCGCATCAGCTGCACGGGACAGAAATAAATCAATGAAATGACGTCCGTAGCATATTGATGTTGCTCAAATTCTCATTATATTGGCCTTCTATTCACATTCTATTCACACACACACACACACAGTCCTCACCTAGTGTCCAGGCAAAGTAGAATTTGGGCCTTGCTGCTTGTATGGAGAAGAAGGCGTAGGTGAGCCTTGTGAGGAAGGGGGCCCGGCTGACGAAATGGGGGTCCACGTTGTACTTTATTGGCAAAGACCGGGTCACAGTGAGGAAGAACAGCATGCAGCCGCTGCAGACGAGTAGTTTTCGGCAGACAGCGTTCTGCAGAGAAAGCAGACGACTGCTGAGCAGTTAGCAAAGTAGGAGAACGCCGCGAAGCGAGATCGGGCTGGCAGATTTTCCTACAGTGCCAGCTGCGTCATAAGAGGAAGCAAGCTGGCATGCGTTCATGTCTTTACCAGGGGGGACGGTTCCGGTGTCTTTTCATAGCCGTTCTGCCCGTTACATGTCCCAGAGTGCTGGCCAAGCCGCCGGCCGATGTGTCTGCCCTCTATGAAGTCTATGTACTCTTTAAAGTTACTGCATGGTCCCACGAAGACACTCAGGAAGTTGAGGTTGTAACTCAGGTACTCGAGGAGAGAAGGCCTCACACTGCGGGAAGAGGAAGATGAGGGCAACTCCTTTCAAACTAGTAGAGCCCTTGGTTTTTCACGCACTGAGAAGCTGTGTTATTGATTGGTAGATGACATGTAACATACAAGTGAAGATTCCGTGACAAAAAGTGACCTTAAAAAAAAAAGAACATGAGACAGTCTAAATGTGATTAACCAGTTTATGATATGGTTCATTTAGTTCAGCATTGTAGTAGACGATGGTTGGGTATCAAACACTGAAAAACCAGGAAATCATACAGAAAATCTTATTGTTGCTTAAAATAAAAATTTGACCTCCTGAGCTGTAATCTAAATCCCTGGTTATGCAGCGGTCAACGCGTGTATGTAATGGAAACATCCCAAGCATCATTGAAAAGTGAAATCATTTTTAAATACACTTTTAAAAACTGTATTTAATTTGTAAGAATATTCATTGTAAGATGACACACATGGTGTTCTGCTTACTGGTATTTATTGATCCACATGCGGAAATATTTTAAAATATTCATGCAAAATGATGCTTCTTTTGTAATTTCCCATCATGCGTTTTGACATGAATAAGCAAATCACCGTGATTGCATCTCCTTGAATTTGTCCTCCATGGCTAAAGGAAAGAAACAGTTATTTATTATTTAAAGTTGGTGTTAATCCAGTGGACATCCAGATCAGCATCAAAGCAACATTGTAAACTATGTGAACCTAAAGGTTAGATTTCAAATAAAGGACAGTAAAAACTTACGTAATAGCCAGAGGCTTCTGCCCGGAGGTCAGTTGTTCAGATTTCTTACACATACCTGAAAAAACCCCAATGACAACGTCATTCATTTTGTCACTTTCTTCTTGTACAAATTCCATTTAGCAGCTTTCAGATCCAGTTTCTGACACAATGTCATCGTGGTTCACGTTGGAGTTAAATACAAGGGAGCCGTTGTTGATGCTAACGCGTCTCCTCCACTGCCTCACCGTCATGGAGCTGGAAAGCCAGTGTGGTTATCTTCTGGGTTACTATCATCAGAGGCCTGTGCAGAAGGAGAATGAACGGAAACCAATGTTACTTAGATTCTGAGGTGAAAGTATATATATTTCCACCGAGGAATACGCTCACGCTGTGTTAATTAAACCGTTTTAACCGTCACATGCGGCATATTTGGTCATTTATTAAATGAAACGAAGCGATTGCCGTCTGAGCATCTGGCTGAAGGCCGGAGAATTCATTTAGCCCCGTGAATCGCTTCATTGTTTTCAAGCAATGTCGAGTTGGGTCACGAATCAATCCAATGCAGCTCCTCCCGATCTCCTAACCTTCACAAACCAGCCGGTTCACAGCGATGAAGTTGCTGACGACAATAGAACAACGCTACTGAGAGGATTTCATCCATCTGTAGGTTTTTATACACATTTGCAATGCGATAAAAAGTCAATAATCAGTAATAATTTGATTGTACATTTAAGATTTATCGATATACACCAGATACAACATAGCAATGTAAAGAGGGACCGAAGGACATAGAGAGAGACTCCTCTCTCCCATGAATGTGAATGTGTATGCACAAAGAGACAACTACATCTCTCTCTCTCTCTCTCTCTCTCCAACACACACACACACACACACACACGCACACTGGTTCCTGTGTGTGAGTCGGCTGCATTGTGTGGCCAGCATGGCAAAACCAGGCAGAAAGGGGCCGAGCGTCTGGCAGTGTGAGCTGGTTGGCTCTAGAGAAACATTTTCAGGGTGCCAGCCGGTGTGCGCGGGGCCTCCAGCGCCGCCGCCGAATAACTCTTCTCCACGTAGACGCTTTAGTTCGCAACAAACACACGTGTCAGCGAATTGAAAGTGGCAGTTGATGAGTTTCAATTGCAAAATGGTCCCTTTAGACGATGCCGGAGGAGCCCCCGCTCATCTTGAGTTGTAGGAAACGCCCTCTTCTGCTTTCCTAAATTCTCCTCTTTGCACCTCTTAAAGTTTCCTAGTCCAAATGTTATGTTCACATAAACATAGAAACACTAAAGAGCTTTAGAAGCAGCCTTCTTTCTAAAACAACAAAGTCCCAGTTGTCAAGAGGCAGCTAGTACCTTACCTCTACCTGGAGCAACAATGTCAACTTTGAGCAGCCAAAACATTCCACGCTGCTGCTTTTTAATCAGAGATGTGTTATTTACAAAGGGCCGGGGCGGCGGCGAGTGTGCACGCAGTTTGTAAAACGTTAACTGAGCTGACTAATACGCTGGAGCCAGAAAGTGCGGCAAAGAGAGAAGACGACGTGTTTCCTTACCCAGAGAAGTCCGTGGACAGAACTCCATAGTTATAGATGAAGGCTCGGCTCACTTGGCACGCTGTCAAGTAGCCCACAGCCGCCACCATGGAATACCTGCCCGCCGAGGAATGAGCCAAAAAAACTAATCAGACAAAGGACAACTACGGTGTTTTGGTGGCACGCGCCACACGTGTAAATATTACAAAGCAGGGCCGCCACATCAACGCGTATTACCGAGTTCTCACCTACTGTTCTATTTTACTGAAGTATGTCTTCATCAGAAAATCATTTGAATCATTCTTTGCTGTGACTGCTGATCTCGTTGGTGTGCCATTTCAAATTAGAAACGGGCCAAAAATGAATTATTTATTCATTAAAAGTGAAGTTGCTGACTGAAAATGTGTATGAAGCAACATTTCTTTCTTAACGTTTCCATGTATCTGCAATAGTCAAAGTTTCCCACCGGAGACACAAATGTATTGAAAGTATTGGCATTATGACGCAGCAGGATTGTTACTGTTTTTTGTGGGCGTGCGCGAAGGTGTGTCGGGTTTGCTTTGATTCACTAAAAGTCACCGCCTTACACTCCAGTGACAAAGAGGTGTGTGGCCAACAGCGAGCAGCGATTTGCTCCATGATGTTTGGAACAAGACCAGTTCCATCATCGTCTTTCTTTCCACCGCGGTGGTCGGTCGGGCCAAATGTAACCGGTAAATCACACGCAGTCCGTGTTGGAATGTGTGCGATGGAGTAAATTACTAAATAGAATCTTCGTTCTTCGTTCTGCCTTACTGCTACAAATCGATTGTCAGTACAATATGCCATTATATGGTCGGAGCAATCTGTCTACTCGACCAGACACACTCGTAAGACGTAAACGGCCTCGGGGACGATCTCGTGTGAGAAGTTTTCCTGGAAGACAACAGCAAGTAGAATTGCGACAGTGTCTTGGAAAGGAAGTGTAGCATCAACCTGTCAGCATGACGCCAGGAAAACAAAACCTCTACATCGGAAGGAACTCATGTTTGTCCATAACAAAACAATCAATAATATTTACCTGATATTTAATTTGTCTGCGAGCCACCAATCCCACCACATTTCAGGGCTGTATGATACATTTCAGAAACCAAACTTTTGTCTCCATATTTCTTAACCGGGTTTTTGTGTGACGTTTTTAAGACCATCACTAACCTGTGTACATTGTTAATGTCGGCTTTGATGACGATCAAGTAACTTGCCAGAACCACGAGCAGCATGTGAGCTGAGTACCTGCAGACAAGGACAAAAACAACCTGACAAGTCTGCATCGTCGCTGTTATTTAAATGATACAGCATCTGATTGATTGATTGATCTCTTGATGAAATGCCATCATGAACTGCATCTCCTATACTTTCTTTTCTTTTCTTTCAGGAGAGAAACTGAAGGAAGTACTGTGTGTGTTTATCCGTGGCAGCGTCGTACAGTACCATCCAAAGCAGAAGAAGAGAAAGACGACGCCGAGGAGAGCGGCCACGGCGTGGCGGACCAGTGGATTGGCGTGGCCGGGACCGAGGTAGAGGCGAAACCAGAAGGCAGCGGCCAGGGCAGACAGCTGGCACGCCAAAAAATTCACCTGTGTGGGACGGATGGAGATTAGGAGGGTTTTATTTTAGCACGCTCAGCAAATATATTAAACACAATATTTGCTGTTTATAAGCTGTCACAAAAATTAAACTCCCGCGAGAAAAGATTGCTTTCCCCACTTGTGTCATCATCCCCTGCGATCATTTTCTGTCTGTTATTTCATTAAGTACAATGTCATGTTTAGTTTTGCTGTGATATTTAAGAAACAGAATTTAGCTTAAAAAAGGAAGAAAGGTTTTCCAGCTTCGTTCTTCAAATACTCAATTGCTATTTAAAAAACAGAGACATGAGCACAGAGAACCCTTTAATCTACTAATTGGGAAGTGAGTTACATAATTGGACGTGACAGTAAGGGGAGAGCCTCTGCTCTGAAGCATCATGGTCGGCCTGTGGATCATAGACAAAGTAAGATAAAGTATTCCTTACCTGATCAAGAGGAAAACCCAAGAACTCACTGACAGGGAGCAGCAACTTGGATCCGGTGGTTTTAACTTCAAGCGCAGATTCAGCCGGTTCGCCCATCCTACCGGGGGGTTCTGTCGCTTTTTGTTCTTATTAAACCGATTACTTACTCGTCTCTGTGACAGCAAAACATTGTTTCTGCCCGAACCGGCTTGTGAAAAGTCCAGCTGGTCCAAGGAAAGACAGAACAGGCGCGGCGCTCCGGGCTGTCGCTCCCCTGTCCTCTCCTCAAACTCGGGGGCAGTCAAGCCAGGCGACGGCAGAAGGGAAATACATAGCTGTTCCGGTTATTACTTTCAAAATAAAAGAGAACGGTGACACATTAGGTCTTATAGTATTTCACTAAAAGAAAGACCATTTTGATATTTAGTTTGTGTACTGTTTCAGAGAAGATGTTATTTTCTATACCGAGAATGTACTCCCTGACCTTTTAGTTAAATCATTTTAACACTAAGTTATATTTTGTGTAATTATACCGGCTTTCAAAAGTGGCGGTGTATCTTTTGCTTGTATGTAAAAAAAAATAGAAACTTTACGGAGAGACTTGTGTCTACACATTTTAACTAGGTCAGATATAAATTAAATAAATAAAAAACACACGAGCGCCAGTTTATGCTACTTCCGGTGTTATTACGGCTGACTTTCATATTTGGCCAAGAAATCAAATTACAAATTTGGCCTTTATTTCTGTTCTATTTGAGTGTTTCATCATGGCTCATGGTGACAAAAAAATACTTAATATGAGGCATCAGCTCTGAATTGTGCTTGGAATGTAAGCTTTTTCTAACAATAAACAATTGATTTGATAGTAATATATGATAACACTATTGTTGCAAGATAAAAAATATATAAAATTCAGTGGACTGGAAGTATAAAGTAGCATATAATGACCTCAAGCAGATGCACCAGAAACGTCAAACTTTCATTTTTTGTCCACTGATAAATGTTTTGCAATATTATCCCAGACTTCCTGTCCGATAGGAAGCAGCACGTGAAGCTGGGGAAACATGCCTCAGCCTCTCGGACCATCAGCTCCGGTTCCCCCAAAGGCTGCGTTCTTTCCCCTCTGCTCTTCTCCCTGTACACAAACAGTTGCACCTCCAGTCACCAGCCCGTCAAGCTCACGAGTCCGCCTACAGGTGGAGTCTGACCATTTGGTGTTGTGGTGCAGCCAGAACAACCTGGAGCTCAACGCTCTAAAAACAGTGGAGATGGTTGTGGATTTCCGGAGGAACAGCGCCCCACCCTCCCCCATCACCCTGTGTGACTCCCCCGTCACCACTGTGGATTCCTTTCGTTTCCTGGGCTCCATCATCACCCAGGACCTCAAGTGGGAGCTGAACATCAGCTCCATCACCAAGAAGGCTCAGCAGAGGTTGTTCTTCCTGAGCCAGCTGAAGAAATTCAACCTGCCAAAGACGATGACGGTGCACTTTTACACGGCCATCATCGAGTCCATCCTCTGCTCCTCCATCACCGTCTGGTACGCTGCAGCCACAGCCAAGGACAAGGACAGGCTGCAGCGTGTCATCCGCCCTGCAGAGAGGGTGATCGGCTGCAATCTGCCGTCCCTCCAGGACTTGTTCACTTGACCCTGAAGCGAGCTAAAAAGATTGTAGCCGACCCCTCTCACCCCGGATAAAACATGTTTGTTCCCTTTCCAGGAGGATGGTCCCGTCCCTCCAGGACTTGTTCACTTCTAGGACCCTGAAGCGAGCTAAAAAGATAGCCGACCCCTCTCACCCCGAACAAAACCTGTTTGTGCCCCTTGAGGATGAGGTCGATCAGGACGAAGACAGTTTCTTCCAGTCGGCAGTCGGGCTCATCAACAGAGCCCGGTCCCTCACTGACTGACCGGTCACTTTCTTTCTCACTGCACACGTCACTTTCACTTGTCACTTTCTGTTCGCTGGTGCACTTTATTTTTAATTTTTGAATATTCTTAACTTTGTAACTTTAACTTTTATTCCTTTATTTTTAAACTAACCCATAGCCTCATACTACTAACCCATAGCATTATATTTTATTTTATTCCTCGTGCACTGTTGTCCTGTCGTCCATTGTCGTACTGTCTGCTGTTATGCACCAACTGTCAAGTCAAATTCCTTGTATGTCTGACATATTATGGCAATAAATGTTTCCTGATTCCTGATATTCATATACTTTTAGTATTATAAACAGGCTGTCTGTGGTGGCAATTCTGGAGAACAGTATTTTCTCGCAGTCCTTCTACAATGAATACAAACAAAACATTGAGATGTGTGGAAAAATAGTATGTTCCAATTGAATTTCAAAAACATGCAGATGCTTTTCTATTGTGCCTTGTGTGGGTCTGCTCTACAATTAGACCAGGTCACTGCAGGCCTTCTCTTGCAATGTAAAACATACATCTAATTTAAATACATTGGTCAAGCTGCCCTTCTGATGAGTGAATATAACATTATGCTCACTTACAGCACAATTAGCTTTGATTTCATCAATGCAATGAACTGATATTGAAAATGTGTATCGACCAGAAGCCAACATAAAACAGTGTAAAAGTAGGCTTGCAAGAAATTAGGAAGGAAGTACACAGGCCCTACAGGCCCTGGAAGGAGCTGTGCAAAAAATATGCATAATTACTATATTCGCATTCAAATTGAACCAACCATGCGGAAAAGAGGGTAAGAGCTTTTAGTATTTAAGTCGTTAGTCGTCGACCGGTTTTGCCAACTGATCTGAAATCAAAGCAACGTTTTATTTAGAAGAAGGTCAGCATTTAATTTAGTGCCCAACAAGCATACTTTCATCCCGATGTACAAATGAGCACAAAAAACAATCCGTAGAAAGAGGGCCGGACGTTATGGAGGACATCTGACCATTTGTCTGCGATATATCTCTCCAGCAATCAAGTCTTTTGCGTCACTTAGCGTCCTGTCGGGGAACTTGCAAGGCGCGTCAGATGACGCGTCCTGTTTACATCTGCCAATGAACACGTGGCGCACCAAATAGTGAACCGCCATTGGCGAAGAGGGCTGAAATAAGGGCGGGGACTCTCCTCCGACAGACCAATAGCGCCGCGTATGTAGATTATGTTTGAAAAATTCCCGGGAAATCTGAGTTTCGCGGGAGGGCTCTTGAGCGCGTAAACCGTATCCCTTCATTCATCAGGCCGTTTCCTGAAGCCATTTCTAGACGGGGGGACGAGAGTTGCGCTACTTTTTAATCCGTTGCATCTGCCTAAATGCACTTTCTGAAGAAAAAATACTTTACCAAAGTCGATGCATCAGACTGTCATCCTTACATCGGTCTGATTATTTTTGTGACTATTTCGGAGGATTAGCAGGAACACGGGCTTGAAAGTACAGAGACAAGAAAGGGGTTACCCCGAGTACGCAAGATGAGGAGAGGGATCTCCTCGGCTCCGGACAAAGTGATTTTAACAGGGGTCGGGGGCTCTCTGGACAATAATATCATTTTAACCGCTCTCACGGATCGCCTGAACGCCGGTCAATCCAACGCGACCTATATCCAAATAATAACCACCCCACCGCCTTGCAACATTACACAGACATCGAATGTGTGTTTATCCGAACCTCAGATAAACAACATTTACACAACTCCACAGCAAGCCGGCGCAAACGGAACAGGACAACGACCCACTCTGGGGAGACCGCCGGTAATACTCTTCACAGCTCGTTTCAACGTGTTTGACATGCTACAACTAGCCGCAAAAACGCGACGAAGACGTTAGCTTGCTAGGCTAGCCGAGCTTGTTGTTCGGGCAGCTAGCGCTAGCTGCTTAGCCGGGGCATTCCCCTCGACCCTATAGCGAGGGGGCTAACTAACCACCGCTAGCTAAGTTACCCAACTGTGTTAGTTGGGTGCTATGCTGACCGCAAAGAATGTAAACGCAGAGTTTTGAGTTAGTTTTGCTTTTGCAGTAACGTAGAAATGTCTAATAGCGTGCTATGCTAACTTCATGGTGGCGCTTTTTTTAGTCCGCTTCACCTTTGCAGCCAAATGGAAATATTGGTAAGAGATGAGTAACGTTAGCGGTGGCCTAGTCGCTGCTGTTGGTGCCCTAATTTGGGGGTGAAGGGTGTAGGGGGGTGGGGGGGCGTTGAGCTGCTTGGACCTTAGTTACCTCGTTTATTAGCTTACTAACCGACCCGAGTGGCTTAACATGCAAGTGCGCCGTGTTACAGGGAGCTAAAGCCCCGCTGCCGTTTACCAGCCACCCGAGAGGCGTCTCGGTCCTTTCTGAACCGTCAAGCCAACTTGCATGAAGCTTAGAAGTGTGGTTAGCTTTCAGGGCTAGTAACGTTAGCAGTATTGATTTTTGAGGACAACGTTACTCGTTGGCGGCCTCGATCTTAATCTTTTTTTTTATTTTTTATGTGCCCTAGATCTGTAAATGAAGTGTTACGTTACGGTGCCCTTTCGTGCCAAGTTTAAGTGAAACTAGTTTATGTTGCCGTGGAACCGATTGCACGTTTCCTGTGTGCTCGAGCTGCACAAACCGCACTGAATAGTTTCAGCAGCGTTCGGGGGTGTCGGTTTGTTCACGGCCATTCGTCTTTGGTGAACTAAAGCAGCCTCTCGTCAGCCTGTATGGCCGTGACCAGGCGGGGGGGGGGTGAGGAGGGGAGAGGGAAGCTGCTTGCTGATATAAAATGGCTGACATTTTGACAGTCAACAGAGGGCACATTACTCTTTCTTGGACTTGGTCTTGAGAACGAGCAAGACCGTGTTGCATGCGGGGATTCACTGTCCTCGTGTATGCGACGTGTGTGTGTTGCTTGACTTGAGCCTCTATCTGGGATTCAGAGGGAAACACCTCGGTGTGTCGCTCACACGGCTGAATCGGGGTGGATTGATGCCAAAGCAGAAGTTCCAAGGGTCCAAAAACCAAAACAAACTATTCACTAATCCACTAGGCCAGGTGTAACATTAATGTTAACCAAAAGTATTCTCATTTAACAAATGGCCAGTGCTGTTGATGACGCCTAGGCAGGTCGTGCTTCTGTAATGACATGGGATGTTCAACATGGGGCCTAAATGGTTTTCAGTACGGCGCATCGACGTGGAGGACGTTTAAGATGCTTGCTGTTGTGGAAATGTATAATGCATAATGAATGTGCCTCACTTTTCGTTAAGCTACACCAGTAATGCATTGATTGAGGGGTCGGCCATTGGTAACCTGTAGCTATGGAGTTGAGATTAATGTAACATATGTGGTGATACTACTGGATTATATCCATATTCCCCCAAAATGTGGATTTGAATATTCTGAGAAGAGGTGTGGGAAATTACTTTTTAAAGTTTATAATTCTTGGTCAATATGATTGGAATCTAATATTTGAAATACTCTTATGGGCCTTGTTGGTGTTTTTGTCTTTGCCAATGCATTCAGAAAAGAAGAAATCACCAACTGGATTTGCACAAGACTAAAAAATAAATGCCTCTTTTTTTTAACAATAAAACTGAACTGAACTGAGCGAATGAGGACGTCTCCGATTCAATCACCAATAAATTAAAGCTGGCATTTCTGTGCCATGTGCACGGTTTCATCAATGTATAAACCTTTTAAGGATTACTTGTGTTAACAATTGTTGTAAATTGCTAAGCGCTCTGATATTTGAGACACGTAAGATCAAAGTAATGAAGCATTTAGCAATCGCGCCACATTCATGGTGGCGTCAGTAATGAAGATGCCAGCTAAATAACCCAAACGTATGTTTTCAACTGCATTTTTGTCCCCGTAGGCAAAAAGGCGATTGGCGCTCGACGATTCAGACCACCAGTACCAGTCGGAGCCGGTCCGGACCAGAGGCAGAGTGGGCACCGCGGTTGCCAATGGAGCACGGCCAAAGACCCCCCGAAGTAAGAAGCCCTCTTTGTACATGTGACCAACAGTACGACAGCACAGCGATGCGGCGTCATCCTGTGTGGAAGCCGTGCAGACCAAGTTGCATAGAGGAACGGCCTCTATTCCGCCAGTTCACACAGTTGTTCGACACGCTGGACGCTGCTGTTCGGCATGCTGGACGTCCCCATCGGAAGTTCAGCAAGAACGCTTATTTCTCTCTCGAAGTGCAATAGAGATCGACCCAGCCCGATAATGTCCCACCTAATGAATGGGAATAAGAAGCAATCAACGTGAATCCTAAAGTATCCACTTTTCCTTTTTCTTCGTACAGCATCCCAATCCATCTAAATGCCTTATGTGTCATGTGTCCTACTGCAGAAGTAACAATCATGATCCCTTGAATTTCACTGAAAGGACTATTGGAATACAAATATCTTTGCAACTTGTAAAGAAATTTCTCTTTACCCGAGTTGCTGTTGTTTTTTAACGATGGAGGCCACCGCAGCAGTGTGCGATCTTGTTGGTGCACACGGGGCGCTAATAATGCCGGAGTAATTTGCCTTCAGCATTTCTGCACTGCGCAAAAAAATGTGAACTTTTTTTTTTTCATCGTAGCGTCCAAACCGGTGTTGTCGTCCGGTCAAAACGTAATTTCCCTAAATGACTAATTATAGTTAGTGTGAGTACAGGAATCTCGTGAGCAACTTGCTCTTGTCACACTTTGGACAAACCCACAACTTGTCCAAGTTTAACTATTATTACAAAGTTTAATGTTTAACTTTTCTTGCAAAACTTACTTTCTCGTTTCCTCTACTGCAGCTCCAAAGTCTCCACCAGAGAAGACTCGGTACGACACCTCCCTGGGCCTGTTGACAAAGAAGTTTGTGGACCTTCTGGCCCAGTCTTCTGACGGTGTCTTGGACCTCAACCTCGCGGCTGAAACCTTGCAGGTAAGTTCAGGTCCAAACAGAAAAGGCCTTGAAAAATAACATTTTTTGTAAGTTTGATCCTTACAGTGACGCTTCTAAAACAACTCTTAAAAATTAACACAGATCTGCTCAAAGCGTTGATAAAGTTTTTCATGTTGGTGCTGAGGATTGTTTTTGCGGTGATTCATATTTGACGCAGTTAAAGTCACCGCTAAGATGGAAATGACGAGACCTGCATCCTCTTCTTCAGGTACAGAAAAGGCGGCTGTATGATATCACCAATGTACTAGAAGGCATTCACCTCATCAAGAAGAAGTCAAAGAACAACATTCAGTGGATGTAAGTGCCCTCTCTGACATTTTCTCTCTCAAGTACTTGGTTTTCACATATTTAAGTGTACATTTTGCCCTCCGTTCCAAAGCCTGTTGGAAAGAAATACCTCTGCTTGTTTGAGCCTTTTCTTCTACCAAATATTTACAACAATGACTACGGTTCACCGATTAATACAGGTGCAGTGAAGCAACTGAGCCGGTTGTGAATGTGTTTTGATCTCTTGTTCTCTCACAGGGGCTGTAGTCTTCTGGAGGTGGAGGGGGCACTGAGCCAGAGACAGAGACTAACGGCAGAGGTTTCTGCCATGGGGGAAGAAGAGCAGCGACTCGAACAACTCATCCAGGGATGCAGCCTGGATATGAGACGCATGAGCGAGTTGCAAAGCAATCAAAAATATCCTTTTGATTGTAAATCTACATTTCTACTCCGCTCTCGTAATTAGAACCTGGTAAAATCGTACTGATATGGGTATTTTTTAAAGAAATTGCTGAATCGGTTGAAGATATAGCTCATCTAAATCCGATGTGCACGGCGTCATCTTTCAACTGTGCTTTGATACCTCTCATTCTGAACATGTGTATATTTTCTGTACCACATACAAAGCAGATGTTCTTCCATTATCCTACAACAAATCAAACCGCATGTGAATGCGTATACATCTATGTTAACAGACAATGTTGTTATTTCTTTAACCTCCTCCACGTATGCCTATGTAACGTACCAAGACATCAAACAGTTGGGAAACCTCAGAGACCAGACTGTTATTGTTGTCAAAGCGCCCACCGACACCAAACTAGAAGTAGCAGACCCCGATGAGGTACGTACGCGACACACAAGCTGGAGCTGCTGCGGGTGTCCAGGCGACACTTTCTGCTTCTCGTCATCTCATCACCTACGACTTGCTTTTCCCTCAAGGAAACAGTTAATTTCAGACCTACCTGCAGTCGATGCTGCCAATTGGTTTTACAAGCTTTTTTGTTATGACGGTGACTAAGTTTCAATGTCTAAAGCAAGCTTTAGTAAAACCTGTAAAAAGCTTTTACAGAGTTACTGTGGTTATTTGGTGTACATAACGTTTACACTCAGCAGCCACTTTATTAGGTACACCTTGCTTGTAAAACATTCCTCTGAGATTTTGGTCCACATTGACGTGACGGCATGACTCAGTTGCTGCACATCTGTCTGCTGCACGCCTATGATGGCAATCTCCAGTTCCGCCGCGTCCCAAAGGTGCTCTGTTGGATTGAGATGTGGTGACTTTGGAGTGCAGTGGACTCGTTAAGAACAGTTTCCTGTTGTGTGGTCTTCTGCTGCTGTAGATGCTGTTCTGCCCTCCTCAGTTGTGAGCAGTGGTTATTTGAGTTACTGTTGCCTTTCTATCATCTCGAACCAGTCTGCCCGTTCTCCTCCGACCTCTCCAAATCCACTGTTTGCGACGTACTCGTACCAGCTTGTCTGAACGTTGTGGGTACCAAAGTCATTTAAATCCCCATTCTGATGCTCTGGTTGAACCTCAGCAAGTTGTCTTGACCACGTCTACGTGCCTCGGTGCACTGAGTTGCGGCCACATGATTGGTTCATTGGCATTTGTGTTAAAGTGGCTGGTGAGTGTATATATTTGTTGTGTGTGTGTGTTTATACATTAGTAGAGCATTTACAAGTTGAAGGGCTATGGAAAGCAGGTTTATGTAATTGCTATCTTTCAATTAAATCTCCTTCTAATGTATTAGTAATTTCTATTTTTGTATTGTTTTCTTTTCTCTCCAGAATTTGTCCATCCATCTGACCAGCACTAAGGGTCCTATAGAAGTCCTGCTGTGCCCAGATGAGGAGAATGATCCCAGGAGTCCGGTAAAAGACGGCGGCATGGACATCAATGGGAACTCTCCTTTCCTCAAAGTCCTTCAAGGTTTGTCTCAATAGACATGGGTGTGCACTTTCTCTTTAAGGATAAAGAAACCAGGCTGGCCTGTATAAATCACTTTTGGCAATTTTCTAATTATTAGCATGGTTGTTATTTAAAAGGCATTTTCGTTCCTATGGAAATGTTTGTGCTACTTCCACCTAGTTGTCCATCTTTAACACGCGGCCCTCTAAGAAATACAGTGTTGGCATTTTATCAACCTGAAGTACTGTGACTAATGCAGATATTTAGTTAATGGTAACCAGTTGACTCCGTTTTCTTTCACAGGTCCCACTTGCTCGTCCGCTTCAACCATCCAATCCCTGGCTCCGCCTTCTTCCTCCTCCGCTGTGTCCGTCACCACTCTCTCCCCGATCTCGTCCCCCTACACCAGTCTTCTCCAGCAGACAGAAGACCAGATTGCCTCGTCCCTGGGGCCGTTCTTAAACCTTGGCCTTCCTCTTCTGGGCCAGGAGGACTACACTTTGGATTTGGGCGACGAACATGGAATCAGCGACTTGTTTGACGCCTGTGACTTTGATAAAATGCCTTCGCTTGGCCTGGATGACCTGTTGTGCAGCTAGCACGAGGTCATAGAGATTCCCGTCACGGTAGAGCGAGAGCGAATGGAGACTCAGTGAGGGGTTTTGATCCCTGTGACTGACTAGTTAGAGGAAACCAATTCTAAATAGATGGAAAGGAATTACTGGGGCCTAAATGCCACCATCTTTCATTGTGTGAGAGATACATGGCCTTGCAAGATTTCCCCCAAAGGCACCGTTGGTCAGTGTAGAGACGTTTCCATTACTCTTTGTCTCAGGCGATGTATCGCCCCCCCCCATTGTGGCCGGGTGTTGAGGGACATCCTAAAGATTGTTTTTGAGAGGGATATCCACTGTACAGAGAGAACCGCAAAGATGGAGCAGCTGGAAGGGAAACGCCCCACAACGCCTGGCATTAATATTCATCGTGGGTGAGCATGAAACCCAAGTGTGATTACACACGAGATGCAAAGATCAGCAGAAACCGTTAACTCATCTTGAAGGAAAAGCACATACGCACACAAAAAACGCTAAATTGTTCATGTAAACATTAAAGGCAGCGTTGATAATTTTCCAAAGCATTTTTTTAGATTTCTGTTTAAAGTTCAGCAGTCAATGAATCAAATGGCTCGGCAGAAGAGAAAAAGATCCAGCATCAGTCGCTGACGGCACTGTAACGAGCACGTCGCATCCCTTGATGGGTCCTTCCACCTGACTGAGCGCATGCGGGCCGCGCGCTCATCATAACAACGCGCCCAGATGTGTTACTTCGCTTCGTTTCCCATGTGCACCGCAGGCAGCGATAGCAGTGGCTTTGGAGGGAGGACCGAGGGGACGAGAAGTCAGTGTTGTGCACTCTGCAACTTTCTTGCTAGATTTACTGTCTGGTCAATCTAGTGCTCAGAGGTGCTTGAATTGAAGAGTTTGCTGAGTCACTTTTAAAAGTCTTGTGTACTCTTGCTGGTGATTACCAACCCTGCCTTTTTAATATTTTTAAATAATCCATTTGTTCTTTCGGAATACCCTTTTAATATCCCAGAAACATTAGTGTGCCATTTAAATAATATCTAACTGGAGTGATATGGAATCAAATGAGAACTTTTTGAATCCGTCTGATCAATTTGGGAAATCAGTGGCAATGACCAGCCATAATGAATGTGTGTTACACAGATCGACATGGTGTTTTAGGAGCCATGTGATGCATTCACTTGTCAGATGTCAAAGTTCATACAGATGTGTTAATGCCAAACGCTGTGGAGGCTAATGGATGCATTCCTATACACAAAGATGTAGGGTCCATGCTGCTGAATGGTCTTTTGTGTGTCATTATGCAGGACATTTTAGAAATGAAAATTGAATATGAAAAACGACACAATAGACGCCATTCACCAGTACAGCAGTTATCTGTGATTAGGTTCTGGACATCTGTCCGTGTCTCGGTGCCGGCTCAGACGCTCGTCACGCTACCCTTTGTGGCATTTGGGCCAATAATCATCATTGCCTTGGTATTTTGTACATTTAAGCCGTATTGAGACTTCTTTAGAGCCGCACTGGAGTTCATATACGGTGTTTTGAGTGCACGTGGCATGATTCCCTAATTTAAAAGGAAACTAACATGGCAATACAAATAATACAAGTGTGCACTAGTTTTGAATGTACAAAATACTTGCAGTGTGCCTTCTGGCTGATCCCTGTTCGACCCCATTGCATACGATTTGTCTCTCCTGTGCTGTATCATCCATATTTTAAAGGCGTAAGTCGGTGATTTGTCCACCTGTTCTCTGCTGGTGATTTGGACCATCTCATATTTTGTAACTAAATTGACAGTTTAATGAATATAAAAATGTTCACCGTGGGAGGAGATATTGTGGTGTGTAACTTCACATCACCCATGTGCTAACAACAAAGAAACAGCCATCATACCACAGCAAATTTTGGGTTGAGCAAAAACTGATCTACCAAACCGGGCACAGTGGCACACAGACGGAAAATCTGGGATCATTTTAGAGATTATATGTGTCAGGACCCAAACGCCTATTTTGTTTCGGCTTTTCACCCATTTCTTCATCTTCAGCAGCGGAAGCGGCCACAACCACTGTGCTGTTTAATGGTACGGTGGTTTGACTGGTAAAACCGCTCATCGATGCTTCTTGTCTATTCGGTCTACTGAAAGCAGTGTTGGAGAGAGGATCGGTGCCTATTTCTTTTAGTTTCAATTAGTGCTGACTTTTTAATAGATTTTAATCCTGTAGAAAAACGAATGATATCCATGTCATCCACGAGGCCAGGGGGCACAAATTTAGGCTTCAGCATGTAACCAAGGGCCCATATCCACAATATTTACAAAGAAAAATAATAGAGCCTGTTTTGTAAATTGAGCAAATCCAGTGCGACAAGCAGTGTTTCGCGGTCGGCTTGGTAACACCGTTGTTGTGCCGGGCCGCTGGGTCTCCAGCAGTGGCCGATCAATAAGAGCCAGCTAGAGGACTTAGTGACCGAAGAGCGATGTATTTTTGTGTAATCTCGTCCGACACGCTGGCTTTGAATCTAGGGAAACCTGCGGCTGCAGGTAACATTGCTGCTGTTAGTGTAAACTTTCCTCGATCTGATTGATGTGCGCTTGAATAAATGTGTGAGTTATGTGAAAGATTAGCCTGCCAAGTGTACATTGATGTACAGTTTTCTAAAATGTTCAGTGCACAAGGTACTAGCGCATAGAAGTAAATGCCATAGTGAGTCTTTAAATTCCCCTTTCTCATAGAAATTACACTTGTATAATTTCGATGTGTGATAATACATCGCACTACGCTTTTTATATGTGCGATGTTTCACTCGTACCCTGATTTAATGAGTATGCCTTTGCTCTTTAACCGATCTCAGTCTGTTGCATCTAAAATTTGAATATTTGGGTGCACATTTATCGGTATTTATCTATCGGTAGAAAAGCGGATAACTTGCAATATTTTTTTTGTTTTGTTTTCAATCTTTCTTCCTCCATAAGTTATTTACGTCCTGCTTTCATCTCCTAAAAGAAAGTAGCACACGTTCAATGATGCATACATGCACTCATACTTTTGCAGTTGGCCTATCTGCCATTAGGAGACATTGCCATGTCTATGTACCCCACTGAACTGTTATCAGTGATTTGTGTGTGTGTGCGCGCGTGTGTTTGTGTGTGGGGGGTTGTGTGACACTGTGTGTCCGTTTTATTTTTGGAATGATGTGAGGGAGTTTTTTTTCTTTTCTGCCTTTTTTTATTTTTATGGAGAGTATTGCCTATTGAAACAACTGGGTAAAATCAAAACGCAATCATTGACATGAACTTCATGCATTCAGTTGATGAGAAATTACAGTTCATATTTCATTATTAGTGCTATTGCAATTGAATTGTAATATGTAACTTTAATGCACAGAAATCTTCTGATTACAATCTACCTTGTGCATAAGAAAATGTATTGTCTTATGCACATGGGAGATTGTGGGAAATGTAATTACGGAGAAAATCAAGCTCAATATTTTCCCCATTTGGTCCACTAACCTTGTTTGTGCTATTTTCTAAGGACATTAACAAAGTTAATTATATTTACCTCAATCTGTTTCAAGTGGCCAGAATCTGGTTCTAATATTTCATCCACTTTTACATGATGGAAACAGGATTTTTGGGAAGATTGTACCTCTCCATGGGTTTCTAATGGAATGTTAAAGATTTGAATGCACCGCTTAAGCTTGTGTCATTGCCGGTGAGTCTATTGAACTATTTGATGGGTTACATGAAATTACAGCTTCATTTCTATGTGTGATTCATGTTATTAAAGCTTACAGAAAAGCAGAATTAGGTTGAATGTGGTGTTGACTGTAGTGACCATTGAAACAGCACTGTTGTACCTGCTATTTTTCTACGGTTATTCTTAAGCTGTTACCAAATAAAATATTCTGATCGGTAAATCTTCTGTAAGGGTTATGTGAAAAGTTGACTATTTCATAGGAAAGAATTGACTAAAATGATATCGCCGCCTGTTTCCACTAATTACAGAGAAGTCCCATCACAATGAAATTTGAATGCTTGAGTGAATGTATCTGTGTGCTGTTGAATGTTTGATCTTTGATGTATGTTATTCACCTATACAAGTTTCTTTAACATCTGTTTAAATGAAGAAGTTGCATTTGTTCGGGAGGGGTGGAGGTGCTAAATGGACTTGTTTTTTGTACCCTGGGTGTTTGTAATTGAAAATTTGAATAAAGGCTATATGAATATAGAAATGTGTTGTATATTATATTATATCGTCTTTAAGGACGAGTGTTTAAAACAAATGAAATAAATCAATTAACATTATTGCTCATTTTAATCGCACAGACTGAATTAACACTTCATGAGAAGGCAGAGAAAAAACGAACTCCGCTCATTTGTCCCTCTTCACCCACCGTAGCTACGCACAAGTATGGCCGACTGAGAGGGCTGACAACTGTTTTGATGGTGTAAATAGTGCAATTTGCCATTTGTAAAGCACCCCTTGTATCAAAAGTCCTACTTTTCTAAACCAACAACTACATCGCTTCCCAGGTACGAATGTTTCACAGCGTCGGAGGAGCTCTGGCTGTCCCAAAATCAGGGCCACGTGGGTCGTAGCTAGCCAAAGAGGCTAGTCAAGCTAAGGGATAGCTTGCTCATGTTACAGAAATAACGTTAAATCAAACCACGGCCTGCCAAGTATCTATCGAATCGGCTTAGACATTTTCATGCGCGTTTGTAATCTGTGTGGGCTAAAACTCATGCGTACATTGCCATGCGGTTAGGTTAACGGTGACAGTAATTTAAATAGTATACTAACGTTACTTGACGTTACCTTGAGCCGATAGCTAAAACGTTATTAACGCAACTACGAGTTATTAGGTTTGTTTGATAAAGACCATAGGTAACGTTAGGCTATGCGAACATAGGTTGCCAACTTACGGTGTCAACTACAATGAAGCTAACGTTAGGTGGCGTATGTAAGTTAATGCATCCAACAGTTGGTTAGAAAGCTAAACTCTGTTGTACGGCGAACCTGGTAAGGAAAGCAGCTATAGCATCATGTAGTTTGGTTAATGTGCATTTACTACGACAATGTGAAGTAAAGGAAAGCCTAAAGGTACTTTAATGCTTGACCTGCTTGCTTGGTTTTTCTGTCACATTCTGACACATTTTCAGTGAAGGAGGAATTCAATTCAAATATGAAAAGGATTTTGCGCTGTTTTAAAGCTAGAATGATGGACGACAAAATATATTCATGCTGAGTTAACTTAATTAACTCAGGTGTGTCAGAAGAAACTAGTGCTGCTGTAATCAGTACGAGGAAGTCATTCTTTGATTATCAAGGTAATGAATTCTATACCCTGTGTTTTAAAAGAATGGGACACAATGTAATTCCCCGTGTCTTTCCTCATCACCAACATAGACTAACCAACATTGCTAGAAATGTACATTTAAAGAACTTCCAACTTCCATATTAGTTTTAATCACCACTGTGAAGGCTCCATAAATGTATCTAGAGTGTTTTCTTTGTTTTTAAATTAAGGAAATGTATATTCTACATAACCTGCTTTTGGATGTATTGTCGAGCTCCAACGATCTACGAAAAGTGGCGATTTAGACTAAGTGATTTTGTTTTCTCAAATATGAACTTTTGTTGCAATTTTTTGTCGTACATTTGGTCTTACTAAAGTATTTGATAAAATTACCTTGGTCTTCAGAAAAAGCCCATCAGTTTTCTGATGTGTTATTGACCAAATGAAAATTGATTAAATGATTTACAGATTCATCTAGAATAAAAAACATTCTTTGCATGCTACGTGGTATGCTGAAGATTTTCAACATCTTTGTTTGCCAATTCAATTGTGCAATCACATGTCACGTCATCCTATAAATTACCCAGCATTTTGATAAAAACGATGTGATAATGAATGTAATCTAAGTTCTGTTTAATTACATTTGATTTTATTGGGGTCATGTGATGTGGGCCATTGTAAATAACTTGCAACATCCATTTCTGGAAATCAAGGGTTTACTAATCTCCGGGTTAACTTTTGACTCTCTTGTATCTTATCTATCCAAAGATATATATCTTCATATTTCAAGATGCATATATATGGTAAACGGTGTATAGAATAATGCTTTCAATGGCGCTTTCTCATTGTCAGACCATCATGCCGTCCGCCTGTGACTCTCTGATTGACGACATTGAGGACATGGTGTCCTCCAGCGACCCTACTCCTCTCGAGAGACAATCTGCTAGAAAGAACATCATTCCAAGGTCCAGGAAGAAAAATGAGCTTCTGAGCCATGAGGAGCTCCAAGCTGACAGGTATGTGGACTGTTTGACGTAGTGGACGAGAGTATCTTGTGATAATCTCCAGTATTCAGTAGCTTTTGGGCTGATGCTGTGTAGACAAAAACAACAACCAATCAATCTCGGCAAACCTCAAAAACAAACAACTTTTTTTCCCAGACTCATGAATTTTAAGTTTTATATTGGTCCGTAGAGGCAAAGAAATATTACACAAAACACACTAAACTGGTCTTTTCGGTTTTACGAAATAACCAACATTTTTACACATCATATAACCAGAACATATTTCACTGTTATTGTTTTGTTTTAGTTTGATTCCTGGCACCCAAAAGATCTGGATGAAAACGTGGGGCTGTAGTCATAACAACTCTGATGGAGAGTACATGGCCGGACAGCTAGCTGCCAGCGGATACATGATGACTGGTGAGAAATGACTCATTTGTGGTGGTTTGTATTAAGTCTATTGTGAACTATAATGAATAAAACTGTTCTAGAAGTTGTACTACTAAAGGAAAACTATGGAGTAATATTTATATAGAATGGATGGATGTGATCTATTTTAGACCACTGGAATGAAGTAAACGAATAATCAGCTGGAATGGTAGAGTAGTTTAGTGATGTCATTGATATTTTTAAACACAAGGGGGCAATCTTGCATTGTAAGTAAACCGTACCGTGTGTCTTATTCTACTGGGACACTTTGTGTGGCTCTGAATTTTGTTCATTAGACTGTGCTATTCAACAAATGCAAAGCAAACGTATTTAGGTATGAAAAATTAAAGGTACAACATGCAGCATCCTGCTAAAAAAATATTGTATAGAATGATACAAAAACAATTCTAGCACTCATGACCCACAAGTTCAATGTGTAGTGGTATATTTAGAGACTCAGCCGCTGCCTGCATTTTTTTCTTTCTTTTGCTGTGTTTGTGAAGTCAGCAAAGATCCTTGTGACCTCACATGGGGGCGAACTACCCAGCGCGCTAGTACGGTTGACACTCTTTTAAAACGTAGCAACTCGCCTGCATCACCTTCTCTATCTCTCTCGGTCCTGTCTGTGTCATGGAGTTTCACATCCATGACACAATCTGCAACTCTGCGTGTCTGTTTGACTGAGGGTAGTGATCAGGCACACACACACAAACGCATGCATCCACGCACTCACTCACATACACTTATTAGGTGCCCAGAATTTTGTTTTGTTCATAATGTTGGAAAATCGTCAAGTGCAAATTATATTTTGTCTTTCATGCGTTGTGATTGAGGACGCAGCGTTCCAATATATTTGCTACTCTGTGACTGTGAATTGACATCATTCAACCAGACACTGACATTGCTGTGGTTATGATTTGGTCGGTTAATGCAAAAAAACCACGCCTTTGTTAAGGATGGTTTGGGTTAAAATGAATGGATCGACTGACCAACCAGATGGTGCTTTGGGACCACAGATCACCAATACAGGCAATGTAAAGTAGCACCCTTTTTCTTTTTTGTCAAAACATGTCTGTGCATGTGTGTCACACACCATCATTGATCGTTGTGTGAGAGACTATTTCTAAAAAAGAGGGAGTTAAAATGAACCCCTCCGGCATTTTTCTCACCATGGGGTCTCCACAGCCGAGGAGGGACATTAATCATACACTTCAAAAATGCAGATGTACTCACTGACTCTCGCTCTCTCACACACGCAATTTACTCATGAACACAGGCAGCATCCCCCACCACGCAGGCCCTAATCTGGTAGTTTAGACCCTTGATCTGTCTCTGCCACCTTTTCTTGTTTTAATGGTGTTCTCTGGAGCGCATTGGTATCCAGGTGGTTACAGTGCATGGCTCATTACTGCAATGTCCCCAGTTTGATTCCAGCTCTGTGAGCTTGGTTACATGTAAAACCTCACCATCTCCCTCCATGACCAGTTTTTGAGCATCAAATGAAGGCAGAACGGACTCAACGTGTGTCTGTTTAATCCTTTTGTCAAACCATTTACGCAGGCTTTATATCAATTGTGTTCATTGTCTGACCTTCAATCTATTTCAATTGTGAAGATTGTTTCTTGCTCAAATGGAGGTAGACGTTACCATCCGGATCATGTACACAGGTGTACTGTCTTGCACCATGAATAGTCAATGTACTAAATTGTGGCCGTGTTGTTGATCGGATAGTCAGTGGTGAATCCCTGGATACCAAATCTTCACTTCACTGCAAGTATCCGTTCCCAGCAATGTGTGTTTGTACTTTTTACTAATATAGCAAGTTTAACTGTTACACTATAAGGGAAATGTTTCTACTGACAAATAATGTAAATTTAAGTTTATGTGCTCCACTTGGAGGAATTTAAGAGTGAAGTTCCAGCACACATGCAGTGTTTCCACTAGGTTTACAACTTCAGGGGAGGGGGTGGCAGTAGTCGGGCCAGGAGGGCGGTAGGTAATGCGCTGCTACTTTATCTGCTGGTGCGAGTGACACATGCATGCACGCATGCAAAGACACATTTGCGCATGTTTTTTTTATTCCAGACTTTTTCATAGGGGGAGGGCCGCACATGTCCTTCGAAGAGAGCTGGAAATATCAAACTGTATTAAAACATCGGGACAAAAGGATATTGATGAATTCATTAGCTTTCCATATAATTTGATACCAAGATGTCAATTGAGTGCTATTGCTGTGATGGTGAAAACATTAGTAGCAGAAATGCTGTGTCACGTTACTTCCTTTTCGAAGTGCAGTAACTGGTGTTATTTGTGTCAATCAACGATCAACTTTTATACGTTTAAACGGCTAGCTCCCATTATGCTGCTTTTCTCTTTTTGGCAACAATTCTTTCCACATTTCTGTCTACTATGCTGTCTCACCCTGTTGTTTTAGATTACATAAATCCACCAAGTACGCTAGATATCTATTGGAGTGAAGAGTACCGGGGCGGGACCGAAATTTGACAGAAGCTGCGCAGTGCAGAAAAATGTATAAATGAATATAGTAGCCTGCTAGCCATTGTCTTTCAGGGAGAGTTTATGGGAGACTTTTTTTTATTTTTATAGTTGGTTGTTTTCTCTTCCCGCTTTGAATTTCTGGTTGAGAAAAATCTGTTTCAGACTGTGATTACACTACATGGCTTCTGGGAGTCTGAAGGACCTCAGCACAGGAAGACTTATTTCAAGACAAAGAAGGTGTAATGTGACACACTCGGAAGATTGAAGCATTCCTTTATGGATATTGAATCGTTCTAATCTCTGGATTGGGCTTTCTTTCTGTGTCCTTCTCTGCTCTTTAAAGTAAGGCCATGGAGTGACCACATAGAGATCCTTATCGACGATTCTTATCGTGTTTCTTTATTTTATTCAACTCCGTAAGAAATTATCAAGAAAATGATTTATTTTGTGTGTGTATGTATACTCTCATTCCAGTGTTTTTCACTGAGGTTGTTGGAAGGAGAAATTGCCTGTCATGGCCAGAATCAGGGGAGATTACACTCAGCACAGGTGGTGATTGTTTTGAATGGTATAGTATGGAATGCAATGCAATTGTCTAGAATGCCATGAAATTGTTGGGAGTGAATTGTGGAGAGTGGATTGAATTGGGCTTCTGAAGGAGGTGGTGTATAGACTGAAAAGTGGGACGTTGAGTTGGTTGAACCGTGTCCTACAAATGAAAATATCCAATGAATATGAGACGGACGCCTCTGTTGTTCGTATCCGCAGTGCCGATCTGCTGAGTTTAATCAAAGAGTTCGTACAAAGACGGCCTCTGCGGCTCTGCAAACATGACATCACCTTCTCCCCCTCCCTCACATCCTTCTTGCCTGTTTTCTCTTTCACACCCCCCCTCCCGCCCCTGTCCCTCTTTCATCTGCTCGCCAACTCTCAAACTATGACATCACCTGGTAGACATAGTAGAAGTTCTTCTGGTGGCCTGTAGGTGGCATCCTTCGCTTACTGGAAGAGCCTTTTGTTGAAAGACTGCATCGCCGCAATATCAGGATGAGGTCATCCTTCTGGAGAAAGATGCTCTGTGTTCTCATTCATAGTTTCAAAAGTTGTAACTTTCAGTCCATGAAGGCTGCACAGCATCTTATGGGGTCATTAATGTTGCTCGAATGCTCTTACTGAAATCAATATTTTGTGATGACATCACCAGACATGAAGAGTTTTACATAATAAGGCTTATTGATTAAGGTTAAGTGTAAAGTGGCTAGAGGTTACAAAGATTGGTTGGGGAGGGGGGTGCTCCTCATTCTTGAGTCTGAGAGCAACATGGCACTATCATAACAATATTTATTCTCAATATGATATTTAGGAGATGGGTATTTTTTCTCCTCCAATGTCTTTGTGCTTTGCCAGTTGATGGGAATTACTTGCCAGCAAGTTGATTTATTCATAAAATATAATTAAATGTTTCGTAATTCTGAGCAACCTGAGGAAGGTCCACCCCGTACTTTGTTTTCCACCTTTCACCTTTCCAGGTGCCTGTGCCCTGTACCCTGCACCCTGGCTTGACTCCCCGTGCGTGTTGAGCGCGGCTCGCGCTCAGCTTCTGTTCCTCTGTGCAACCAAAGAGGGCACTGTTTACTCGTGGCACTAAACTGCTACACATTACCCACCAACCCCCCTCTTGAGCAGCAGAGCACTGTGCCAAATAGTGACTTCATAGAAAGGCGTGTATGCTCGCATATGGGTGCGCGCACACACATGCACGTGCACACACAGACACTCAAACACCCTTCATGGAAAGTCACACCAGGATATTTTGATTGTTTTTGGCCGCTCTGCTCCCCTCCCAATGTCCTCTCTGCCTGCCAGCCGCACACACAGCACTTCAGTTATGAATTTACATACCGGTTAGGCAAAATTACTCCCCAGTACACAATGTCAGCCAAATGAGGCGTTCTCAGTTCCTGGTTTGGACACAAACGGTTGGAGGATATGGCTTACAGAGCTAGAGGATGTGTGCTTTTTATTGATGAGCAAGTATTCGTGCTACGCCCGGCGCGTTTCATACAGTATTATTTTACACCATTTAGACAATGAACGGCTTACAAATTATGATTGGTATGAAATGCATCATTAATTTTGGATTGGGAGACTAGATGCATTTTCAAAGAAGGGAGAAAAACATTCGGCATGTTTGGATATTTTATTTAGACGGGTACCACAGGTATAAATAGCATGCAACGTTTCCAGAAAATTGCTTTTCTTCTTGTTTTTTTAAATTTGATATACATTTTCCAGAATATCAATTGATGTTATTCCAAAATTTAGCAGAAACATTGCTTAACTGTTCTGATTCAGTTCCTACTGCATTAGTTACAAGCGCGTCGACTGCTTTGTGTGATTGTATTACATCACTGCGGAGTATTCTCACCCAGAGTGTGTGTGTGTGTGTGTGTGTGTGTGTGTGTGTGTGTGTGTGTGTACTTCGCATACAT